GAGATGAATAAGAAAGAGATGTGTCGTCGGCGAAAGGTCTTGTCAAAGAGTTGAGAGTTTCTGATCTGTCATTAATATAAATTACAAAGAGAAAAGGCCCTAAGACTGATCCCTGAGGAACCTCAGCTTTTGTATACCCAGGTTTTGAACAATTATTACGGAGAACAACGGATTACTTACGATCTAGAAGATAACTCGAAAACCAGGAAAGTAATTTACCTGATATGCTATAATTACGAAGTTTTAGAATCAGACCTTCATGCCAGACACGGTCGGACGCCTTTAAGAAATCACAAAATACAAGGGCAGTATGATATTTCTTTTCTAGTGCTTCTAATATGGTATGATAGAGTTCAATGAGCTGAAAGGTGGTAGAGTGGTTAGGAAGAAAGCCAGATTGTAAAAGATAGATCAGATTATTATCGTGAAGATGATTATGTTTGTGAACCACTCGTTCGAAGATTTTGGAGAGACAACATAACAAGGAGATAGGTCGATAGTTCACTACAAGTGAGGGGTCTTCTTTTTTGTGGATGGGTACGATAATTTGCTTTTTACCACTGGGAGTGGAACAGATGACTGTATTGATTTGTTAAAAAGGATACTGAGATGAAGGGAAGGTTCATGTGCCAATGGTTTAAGTAGTTTATGACCGATTCCGTCGGGGCCTGAGGCTTTGGTCGTGTCAAGAATTTTGAGGATGTCGCTGACTTCCATCGGTTGGACTTGTATTTCGGTAAGTATGGAGTGTCCGTACGTGAAGGAAAAGAAGGTAAGTATTTGTCTCTGTTATCAAAGTTATTGAAAAAAATTTGCTCTTTGTCAGTGTCGTCGGTAATGTATGTGTTATTTGTCGAGCCGAGCAGAGGAGGTAAGTCTGTAGGTATTTTAGATTTCATTAATGATTTCATGATATGCCAGTATGCTTTTGGTTTAGCTGCTAAATTGTCAGTTGTGATGTCTATGTTATCAAAATACTTCGATCTTGCAAATGTCTTCAAATTATTTACCTTATTTCGTGTTTTTTTATAACTATGGATGTTTGTAGTTGTTAGTTAGTTTAGGTGTTTTGTGGAGTCAGTTGCGTCTTTTATTTTGTTTCTTATTTCATTTGTCATCCAAAGTGTGTCGTTAGGACGTATAGTTACTTGTCGTGATGGTATGTACTTGTCTGCAAGAGAAAGAAGTCTAACCGTGAAAAGTGATGTCATGTTATCGACGTCGTTGCATGTGTCAAAAAGAGAAATCCAGTCTACAGCTGCCAACGCTTCTTTAAAGTCGGTAAAGTTCGCTCGATTGTATAGCCACATATTTTAGTGAAGGTCCGTCGTATAGGGTACTCGATTTTTACCGCGGTATAAACAGCTCGATGGTCACTGATGTCTCGGTCAACTGGTATCGCGAAATGACAGAAGGTTTCAATGGAATTACTTACTAAAGAAAGGATCAATGCGGCGATTGGGAAGTTGCAGTAGCTCTTGTTGGTTCGTCCACACTATTATATAGGTTATAAAGGTTAAGTAATAAGTCCGTCATTCGATAATTTTAAAAAATATACATTGAAATCACCAGTAAGTATTACATGAGGCGTCGTTTCAAAAGCGATATCTAGTGAATTTTGGACTGTTATCCGTACATCATCAGTATTCCATTGTGGTCTGTAAAAAAAAAACAAGAATAATTTTTTGATTCTTAAAGTTCAATCCATATTATTTCGTCATTACCAAGTTCTAGGTCTGTTCGCCGTTTAGAAGCAATTTGTGGTGAAACCAAACATATTCCTGTCCCTGCGATATAAATTATTTGATAGTTGAATTTCGTGGTCTGGTACAGATGGGTCAAGGTGAGTTTCGGTAAAACAGCAAATGTCGACAATCACTAACAAAGGATTCTAGATAATGAAGTTTATTCCTAATACTACGTATATTTAAATGAAGGATCGAGAGACAGTTATCAGTAACACTTCCTAGACTGTGGGAAAATGAGGAAACGTTTGATGGGATCTTAGAGGCGTCCGAAAGTGGTCCAGAATTAGGGTGTACATCTCCATCTAATATAAATAGTAGTAGTATAGTGACATTATGTTGAGTAATGTAATTAACGGTAGATCTGACAAAATATGTAATTAAAACTTATTAATGCTATTCAGAAAGACAGAAAGAGAGAAAAAAAGCAAAAGGTTTGAAAATATATAGAATATGCAACGATACCACACATAATACACTGTATGATGGTCCAATGACAGCTCTCCAGATTGTCACATCAATAGGCATCTCAATCATGTAACCCAGGGTAGGGGGTGGGCGCCACCGAGACACTATGCTTGGACGAGACATGATCATGAGCATTTGGTAGACACAGGCAGACAGTCATACAGTGGTTAACATAATAAAACATGTGTACAATAATGATAGTAACTTGCAGTGCGATGTGGTGCGTCGTGATGCTGTGAGATCATCAAAGAAAATAAGAGATTACGATACTCTTGTGAGTTGAAACGAAATTGGATACTAAACATTGGTAAGGTAAGCTGATATTGATTATTTGTTTATGTACTTGTACCTATATACAGTTGAGGAGACGATGTTCAGGCAGGTATGAATTATATACATGTATTAAATAGTGTGTGAATAAGATACAATATCTTTACATTCAACGACCTTCCTCATGCAAAATATACTTGCAGTCATATAAATTTGAAAAGTGTTTACATATAAGTACAGAGATATATACAAACATTCACACGTGTGTACAATCGCACACATACACAATTCCCGTTAATGCTGTAAAGTGCTTAGATTACGCGGTGTCAAATTTTCGCATTTATACTATGAACTTGTTTTCGCGGGGTCCAAATAGGAGGTACGGGTTTTTGGTGTACGTACGCACGCTGACCCGTGAACACAGTTTCGCCGGGGTTTTGAAATTCGCGCACTGATGGAAAAGCATATACATGTAGCAAATGGTAACTTCCGCGAAATAAAAACGCTTTACGGTATACACACACACACCTCTCTCTCTCTCTCTCTCACATACACATGTTCACGCGCACAGACATACGTTACAACTCAAGCACGCAATAGCGTAGACACCTGCGTATGCGCATGAGTACGTTTACACACGCACGCACACACGCACACACCACCGCCACCACACGCACACACCTCAAGAACATTTACGCACACACACACACACACACAAACACACACACAAACACCCTCGCACAACATCACACGCACGTGTACATACACACACACGCAAATACAATCCTATTAGGTATTACAATATATACATATAAACACAGATATATACATAATTAACACATATGTATGTACAAATAGCACGCACGCGCAAACCCCTTGCATATAACTGTATATCTGTAAAATACTGATATATTTCTCTTTTTTTTTTGTACCGAAGAGATATCATGGTATTTTTGTTATGTAATATAGAAAATCTGGTAGGAAACACGTGCGGCAAATTCCTCATCAGTGATCAGAACTCTGTTTACAATACTACCAGGCTTCGTTACCCTGAGTCGTCTGTTTGGTTTCAATTAAACTTTTGTAAATTTGAATAATGATTCGTGTACTTCTGGTTATACTTGTGAAATCGTCTTTCACTACTTTTTATAGTGTCATTTTATACCAATTAAGGAATATTTTGATCTATATTTTCACTCATTTGAATGTTGAGTTCAATTTGGATACCATACCTTACACATTCATATATGTTGAAAGGCGAAAATAATCCTCGGTGCATAGAATATGAGGAACCATTCACCTTTAAATATTGTTATTGGACTGTGCTGACCGTCTCTCTACTCGAGAATGTTTTTATCTTAACATTACATGTCTAAAAACCCGTTTTGAAACTGTTGAGATTTGTAAAATTCTACATTACCTGAAAGATGTTGGTCTATATAATAGACTATGACGTACCATTTTAATCTTTTGTGTTAACATACCCATTTAAGATGTTTAACATTTGTCTTTTACCTTTTGGTTTGTTTAATGTTATTTCCTTTTTGGATCGCTGTGTGTTTTTACCAGTTGATGACCCTAATGACCTTTTATGTGTTGACGGGCCGTTAAGGATGTAATAATAATAATAATAATCAATTTGAATACAATTTTGTTCGGAAAACCTCATCTTACCGTAGATCTTAATTAAAATATCTTCAGACATATGCATTCCTTCATTAAGTCTAGTAACATATTTTATATTAATAACAATTATTTTTGTATATATATACAACTTTTGCATATTTCAATGATAATAAGTGTTTCTATATAATCACATGTATATAACTGGTGTCTCAAACCTTGTTGTATGGTTGACGATATATATATGTTTAAAATGACCTTTTCTAGCAAATTTTATAAGACTGTTTACCGTCTAGTCATAGTTATATAATTTCTCAAGACTATAAAATATTAATTTGCAACCTGACGTTGCATAACATAGCTGTTTCTCGATCTCTCGTTGTGACATCACAGCCGATACGCGCCTCACTCCGAGGTTGATTAATAACAGGACATGTTCATTTTATACGTCAATATCTCGGAATTGGGATCAAGAAATTTGGTACGGTTTTCAACCTTTTGGATCATAAAAGTAATATTATATCCATTATTATTTCCACTCATGTACACTTTAATATAATTGTCAATGCATTGGTGTTCCCTTGATCATAAAATGTAAGAGTTATTCCTCTTAGTATCCAATGTTTATATAAACTTTCTAAAGAAAGAAACTCGCCGGAAGGAATTAGACATATAATACGTAATGTATACATAAATGATAAAATTGCACTCTATTTCAGACAGCTGATTTCATGTTTTAGTCAATTTTAATAACACATACCCGATCAGTCAATATAAGCCTGAAGTTCTCGGGCGCTTCATGGCTTTGGAACAGTTCCGGGCTGGAATTCGTACATCCCTATTTAAAATTAAAGCGTTTCAAAGACGCCGGGTGTGTTGTCCTTCCGACACAAAATGAAAACGGTGCCGGGTTTACTTCAAGGTCTGTCTTACTGCAGACTTATAGCGATGAAATCGTCCACGTCGAGATATTGGACAAATCTCAGTGGCGCGATTGTCTCGTCAAGTTCAAATCTCCGTTCAACAAGGACAGTAGAAAGACACTTCTCTATGTTGACATGTGGAGTAAAGCCGTCAAACAGTGTGTTATGTAACACTAGAGAACGGTACAACTGCCATATAACACCAAATTTGTCAACATGCCCAGTTTTTTATAGAAACTATACAGGCAGAAAACCTAGGTTTATGAAAGCGCCTCACGTTTTAATGCCAGACTTCCCAGTGGTTTTGGTTCCGACTTTTAGGCAGTTTCTATACCAAGGAAGCAAAGATGCGAAAGACATAAAAGCAATCATCGCCATTGAAAAGGATTTCGTGGTCGAAGAGTTTTTAAAAAGGGCTTATAAGGTATGCATAATAATCTGAAAATCGTACACAGTATACTGTGGTGTAAAGGTTTTGTAATGATCAATATACTTGGGTAATGTATGACTACTAATTGTCTATATGTTAACCTGTTCTGTCTGGTTAATTCATGTACAATTATTAATTATCTATATGTTTAGCCTGTTCCATCTGGTTAGGCAATGTACGACCATTAATTGTCTATACGTTTAGCCTGTTCTGTCTGGTTAGGTCATGTAAGACTATTAATTATCTGTATGTTTAGCCTGTTCTGTCTGGTATGTAGCAATGACATGATACTTACAGCACAGATAATATAAGGTGATTTCATGTTAGGTGATATCACAACATCATGATGGAAAATCTAGATATATCAATAAAAATGTCTGACAATAGCTTGTTTATCCAAATAAATTTCTAGAGGTTTAGCATTAAGATTGATGAATAAAACCAAGTTAGACAATGCAGTCATCAGATAGTGCTTCAGCTCTACAAATACTGGAAATATATTGCGATCTGTCACTCTAAATTCATCGTTAATTAATTATGCTCTGTACAACTATTAGATAAACAGGGTAAAACTGTACAATTTGTGTACATCCGATCTTACATTGGTATCTCTGGCAACGAAGGAGCTTATAAATTAGCTAGGGAAGACATAGATCGTGAAAGAACAGAGAAAAGGCACATTCCTGTTGTGTGCCATGACCAGTAATTGAACCCAGGTCTTTGGTGTGATAATGGACCTGTTCTACCAACTGATGCAAAGAAGCAATATTCTACTTCAGCTGAGTGACAGTGACCTTGAATAACACTATGTACAAGTCACACCGACCTGTCAGCTGAGTGACAGTGACCTTGAATAACACTATGTACAAGTCACACCGACCTGTCAGCAAAGTGACCTGAGACTGCATTGACCTGTCAGCTGAGTGACAGTGACCTTGAATAACACTATGTACAAGTCACACCGACCTGTCAGCTGAGTGACAGAGACCTTAAATAAAACTATTTACAAGTCACACCAACCTTTCAGCTGAGTGACAGAGACCTTAAATAAAACTATTTACAAGTCACACCGACCTGTCAGCAAAGTGACCTGAGACTGCATTGACCTGTCAGCTGAGTGACAGAGACCTTAAATAAAACTATTTACAAGTCACACCGACCTGTCAGCTGAGTGACAGAGGCCGTTTTTAACACTATGTACGAGCCACACCCTCCTGGTAGCTGAGTGACAGAGGCCGTATTTAACGCTACGTTCAAACCACACCCTCCTGGTAGCTGAGTGACAGAGGCCGTATTTAAGACTATGTACAAACCACACCAATACGCTCTTTTACGGGATCATTCTTCTATAAAATAAATTTTAAAATGGAAGATTATTCATTGGGAAACAGAGCTTGACTCACAAGTTGGTGGGTCATCCTATGGAAAATTAAAGAAAGCATAGAAATGTAGTATTTTTAAATGTTTCAATATCAATACAAGTTATTTGATAAAACAGTATAAAATACATACTTGACCAAAAATTGATATTGGCAAACAGATGTGAATCAAAATCAAACACCAGAGTTGTATGATAGTGTGACAGATCAATTTCTGGTAAGATGTTTCTTACCAGTTTAATATTGATGTCGGGTTTAGAGGAAAGTTAGTAACATGATGCCTTGAAATAAAAGTATTTAGTTGGCTTTATTCTTTCCAGGGAACATTAACTGTAGCAGATTTATTGGCTTCAAGAAAGGTATCAGATGTAGAAGAACTCTTTACTCCAGAGGTAAGTAACAAAACAATGAAAATCATTTTCTTCCCAAGTGTCAGGAATCGAACCCAGGTCTGCGATGTGACAATCCAGGACTGTGACACATGAGTTAACATTACCAGAATGTTACCTTGGCGCCACAAGCAGTGATTTATCTTATTATGAGTCATGGGGAGATGGCATTTTTTTTAATTGTCCCATTAGAATTGGGAAGTCAAACTTGGTATATGTCGGAAATGTCCTCTTATTGACTTGCATCGTTTTTGATGGAAAATATCCAGACATTTTGAAATAAAGGCAAATCACTGTTGCATGTCCTGAAGTCTCAATTTAATTATTAAATAATGGCATTTCAGGCCTATTATACTCAAGTATTTATATAAAGCATGATACTGACAGGCAACAATCAAAATTTTGACCAGAGATTTTACATATTACTATTGAATACATTATCCTGAGATTGCAAATACAGTTTTGTTGCTTGTTCATGAGACAGCTGTGGTGTCTGACCGTCCTTGCCAATAGCTTTCCATATTTGAGTCACAGGATGTTTTTTCTGCAGGACCTCCAGTTTTCCTCCAGCACCCAAACCTGGCACCTCCTTAAATGACACTGGCTGTTTATAGGACTTAAAGCAACAATACACCTAAACCTTGTCTTTTGATGTTATTTATGTTTTCAATTTTTTATGTTTCAGGCATACAGACAAGTAGCAATGAACTATGATAAGCTGACACCAGAACATTTCGCGGTTCTACACGACCTTAGTGAAAAGAAGTTGTTACTTACTTTCAAGTTTCACCATGTTCAAATGATTTTTAATAGTAAGTCATCAGAACGTAAATACGGCAAAACATAGTATTGTAAGGAAAGAACATATTGGTGATCATTTATCCTCTGTGCCTAACTGGTTTGTTAGATCATCTGAGATGAATAGAATCTTTCACCCCTTTGGGGTGAGACAGGGGGATCTCAACCAGAGGAGGGGATTATTAAGTTGTCAAACACGAGACTTGCCGAGGGTTGAGATCCCCCTGTCTCATCCCAACGGGGGTGAATGATTATTTTTCTCTTACCCTGTTCTCCTGCTGATTGTAAAATGTGAAATAGAATGTTTGTAAATAAAGACTCATAGACAACGTATGAATATAGTGACGAGGCGGCCTCAACCGCGTCACGCTTAATTGTGATATCCTGCACAAAATATAATTCCCATTAACGGTACAGTAAAACATAAAAAGGCATAATATTAATGATAAAAAACAATTTTAATGTTAAAGTATGGATGAGATGACTTCAATATATACACAAAATCAACACATATTACTAAATCGTTATTTTAAAATGATGTCATTTACATGTCAAGTTCCACTTCCGGGTCAAGATAGTGATGTCACATTATTGTTGAGAACGCGCAAGGAACGCGTGTAGCTTGTCTCAACCCTAGGGTGAGATAGAAAAATCTCACACCGGTAAAAACTGTGGATATCCCTGTCTGGGGTAAGAGAAAAAAGTCTCATCGTGACCTATTGTGATCTCCTTTTGTCTAGCACCCATAAAGTTTTAACCTCTTCCTAGAAACGCCAGAACTTCCATGAAATTATCTCGGAAACCTTGGGTAAGGAGCCTGAGTGGCAGGGCCAGAAGTTCTTAAATTGACTCAAATTTCAAAAGTCTTCTTCTCTAAACCCAGATCTGGTAGAAATGTTCTTCATGGAGGAAAGCATGTTAAGGTGTTTTACCAAAACAATGAATTCCATGACCCCAGATCTTACATTCTCCCTTGGGGATGAGGGGCGGGGGGAGGAGGGGGGTGGATGTCACAAAAAGTTTTCTCCAACAAAAATATCTTGGTAAGAATTATTACCATAGGATGACAGTTTGGATGGTATGCATATGTTGATACTGGTTGACCTACAAGGGCTTAAAACATATCACTTAATTTTTACAATAATCAATGTCACAATTGCCTGTACATGACACATGAGAGCTACATATACTTATCCTATAACCTTTATATTCAATACAACATACCTCAGGTGACTGTCAAGGCCACTATGCCTCCTGCTAATACAATGTCATACTGTCGAAATTTGTTGTCTCGAAATTGCTTGAGTCAAAATTCAATTTGAGTTGAAATAATTTCCAAGTCCCGAATTTTTCCCTTTTCCATCTTTGTAATTTTAGTTTGGATGAGTCAAATTTTTGTTTGAGTTGAAGTGATTTTTCTGCCCTTTTTCATCATAAAGCGAGAGTAGTCATTAATTGTCTTGAAATTAATTTTTGTTTAAACATCAGCACGGTCAATACATATAAACATTTGCATTAGCTTCATACATCTTTTCTAGTAGCATATAAAAATTCTGATTTCTTTTCATCTGTAAGGTATATGTTTGATATTGAATTGAACCCGATTAAATGAGCAGGCATAAAAAATCTATTTCTCTGTTTATTTACTGCCATTTCAAATAACAAATTAAAATACACCATTTTTACAATAGAGTTTCGTGCTATCACACTTGGTTTAACCATAATCAACATCAGGAAATTGATATCAACCTTATTTGGACACTTTATTTGTGTCAAATTTCGGATAGATGGAAATATGTTTTTATTAGAGAGAACAAGTTACAAGTGTAGTATACTTCTTTTCAGTAAATGTGGAGATACAAGAGACTGTTCACAGTTCTTAGATCAATATTTTAATGAAACTTTGTACTTTAATTAGGCATGTAATTCTCAGTATCTTTGTTGTAACCCATAAGATAAAGGTCAGAGGTCATATGATCTTAACCTTATAATGATCCTTAAGATCATATGACCCCTGACCTTTTTCTTATGAGTTACAACAAAGATATATGATCTTAAGGATCATTATAAGGTTAAGATCATAGATTAATTGTTATTTATTATAGAACAAAAAGTTAAGATCATTTGTCAATTGTTAACTTTTGTAGGTTTAAGGTTATAGTCATACATCATTTGGTAATTATTGTAGGTCACAAGGTAAGGGTCATGGGACATTTGGTAATTATTGTAGGTCACGAGGTAAGGGTCATGGGACATTTGGTAATTATTGTAGGTCACGAGGTAAGGGTCATGGGACATTTGGTAATTATTGTAGGTCACGAGGTTAGGATCATGGGACATTTGGTAATTATTGTAGGTCACGAGGTTAGGATCATGGGACATTTGGTAATTATTGTAGGTCACGAGGTTAGGGTCATGGGACATTTGGTTATTATTGTAGGTCACGAGGTTAGGGTCATGGGACATTTGGTAATTATTGTAGGTCACGAGGTTAGGATCATGGGATATTTGGTAATTATTGTATTTCACGAGGTTAGGGTCATGGTACATTTGTTAATTATTGTAGGTCATGAGGTTAGGGGCATGGGTGGGTTAAAAGGGGCATTATTTACTCAGATTTCATAAGTCTTCTCAACACCCAAATTTGATTGAATCAAAAGCTTTTCATGGATAGAAATCATGAATTTCATGACACAAGGGTCTCACATGTCCTCTTGTGGAGAACCTACTGTAATTTACACAGGAAATTAAAAATTTTGAGCATGTGTTTATTCACGGTTTCATGAATACATTGATAAAATAATGTAAGTCGTCTCCTTTTGTTTGCAGTGTCTGAAGAGGAGCCTGCTGTGAAAGTGAACGTGAAGTTTCTGATGTCATTCTTCAGTTGCTTTCTGGAAAATAAACGAGTCACAGAATTATTCATTAACACTGCAGGGTAAGAATGATCAAGTCCCAAAAAGTGAGAAGCTTGTAATATTGATTTACATGTACACTGTGACATGGTGTCTTTATCTATCTATGTACTTGAGTACACTGTGACATGGTGTCACTATCACTCTATGTACTTGAGTACACTGTGACATGGTGTCTCTATCTATCTGTATACTTGAGTACACTGTGACATGGTGTCTCTATCTATCTGTGTACTTGAGTACACTGTGACATGGTGTCTCTATCTATCTGTATACTTGAGTACACTGTGACATGGTGTCTGTATCTGTGTACTTGAGTACACTGTGACATGGTGTCTCTATCTATCTATCTGTGTACTTGAGTACACTGTGACATGGTGTCTCTATCTATCTGTGTACTTGAGTACACTGTGACATGGTGTCTCTATCTATCCACCCTCTGTACTTGAGTATGCTGTAACATGGTGTCTCCATCCATCTATGTACTTGAGTTCGCTGTGACATGGTGTCTCTATCACTCTATGTACTTGAGTACACTGTGACATGGTGTCTCTATCACTCTATGTACTTGAGTACACTGTGACATGGTGTCTCTATCTATCCATCTATGTACTTGAGTACACTGTAACATGGTGTCTCTATCTATCTGTGTACTTGAGTACACTGTGACATGGTGTCTCTATCAATCTGTGTACTTGAGTACACTGTGACATGGTGTCTCTATCTATCCACCCTCTGTACTTGAGTATGCTGTGACATGGTGTCTCCATCCATCTGTATGCTTGAGTACACTGTGTCATGGTGTCTCTATCTATCCCTCCTGTGTCTCTCTAACATCTGTCCTTCAACTAAAATTCCTTACTACTAACTAAAGGAGAACCTCGTTTTGGATTTTGACTAAATTTAGTCTGAAGCATCACTAGGCAAATTAGATCTACCCTATTTAATGGATGGGGCCAAAGAAAGGAAATATAAAAATATTGTTATTGTACACCTTTAGACCCCAAGGATTTCTCTAGGCTACATGCCCAATTTTACTATGTCACAATGATGAGTATATGGCAAATTGATAAACATTTACAGTCAAACATGTCAATAAAGGACACTTGAGCGAAGTGGCCTTTATAGACAGGTGCTCACTATATAGAGAAATGGCATTTAAGATTTTGGTTATATATGATATCAATAATCAGAAGATTTAATATACCTGAATAGTTACATTTGACCGGTAAATTCATACTTGAGATTATACGAGTGGTCAGTATTCTGTGATACATGTATTGACCTGTTGTCAATATAAGCTTTTCCTTAAAAATTTAAATTATAAAAAAAAAATCCAAGTTACATTAGTTCTTTTTTAGCCCAACATCATGTCACCTTTCCTCTGCATTACTCCTGAGAAGAACTGAATAGATCATCCTTGTACTACATATTATGTTCCTCGTAGTTAAGAACTTTTCGTTTTGGAATTAATTTGAAAAACAGAATGACTGCAATCAAGCATTTTGGAAGTTGAGTTATAGTTTGTTCTCTTGAGAAATTCAGGATGAATCATTTTCCATGTTCATGTGAATGTTTCTATGGAGAAATAGCCCTCATTGTCACTATTTGGTACTGATCATGAAATCAAAATAACTGGACTGTGGTCATCTTAGATTTGACAGTTATAATTAATGATACATGAATTATTAATTTCTTGAGAAGTTACTGATCCCTCGTGACTATTGTCTCTATAGGTTACCATTCAGAAGTTTCTCTCTCGTCATGCATTCACTATTGAAGGACTGAATGCTAAAACAAAATGGCCGACAGACGGCCATTTTCAATTTTGATAGTATATTTGACAGATTATTTTAAAGATGTTCTGGATGGATCATTCTCCTGGTATCATAGACAGGTTCCCCTTGTTCTCTGTGTTATTGCACAGAATATAAGACATTTTGAAGATGATTTTGACAAATTTATATGTTTATCACCAATGTTACTATATTTAGCATGACAATAGGATGGCTATTGTACATTTTTAAATAAACACTTTATTTTCACATCATTCCAACCGATTTTTCACTCATCCAATCCACATTTCTTTGCTGGGTTTTCATATATCTATATGATTGTTGACTTACCCAATCAGGCTTTGGTTTTTCAAAGGTTGGTTGGTTAGATATAACCAGTGATTAGTGAAAATTTTCAAATACAGCTTAAACAAAATAGTAAACATTCTTTATAATTTCGTGGCTGTATTTTTGTTGTGAAAGACCAGAATGGAATATTTTTAGTGCTAACTTTGCCTTTAAAGCTCTAGTATTTTCAATAGAAACAATTTGAATTTTTTGTTAACCATTGGTTAATTCTTAACTAACCTTTGAGCAACCGACGCTGGATTTCTTTACCAGGTTTCCATATTTCCAGACTTGTAAGCAAGCAAAATATATATACTTTTGTTGTGTTTTGGTGTGATACTGTGTGTAATTTCTATACATTTTATCAGAGTGATCAAAATTAACATTGATTTTAAAAGTGTAACTGTAGAGAACACATCAATGGAACCCTTGAATTTGAAGATAGAATTGTGTGGAAGTCATTATTTATCACTTTCATTCTATAATTTTGTTAATATGTTTACTAATCTTAACTTGTAGGTTTGACAGGCAATATATTTCAAGAATTGACAAATCGATGCTGGCAACACCATCCAAGATAAAAAAATTTAAAGCAGGGATTATGTCTACTTTAACAGACCTACACTTTGAATCAGATGACTATTGGAAGATTTTGGGAATCACATTCTGCCATGTGCTCAGGGATAATCGCAAAGTAACCTTAATATAAATTGGTAATGTTATCTATGTTTTACATCTCAAATATGTTTGTAAATTACAGTTAAATAAAATAGAATCCTTCCTAGTGTAAAGGAATGTGTTTTACTGTGATATTATTGTTTACATGTTTATATACTTAATTACAACTCATCAATCATTTCTGTAATCTGCATTCATCAAAAAAATCTACAAGCAAAATCAGTAGATTACACACTCTCAAGCGATTAGAACCTAGGTGTGTGATTAAAACCTACCCAGAAAGTGAGTAGGATTACAGATACAAAGTGTGTGATTAAAACCTACCCAGAAAGTGAGTAGGATTACAGATACAAAGTGTGTGATTTACCCAGAAAGTGAGTAGGATTACAGATACAAAGTGTGTGATTAAAACCTACCCAGAAAGTGAGTAGGATTACAGATACAAAGTGTGTGATTTAAACCTATCCAGAAAGTGAGTAGGATTACAGATACAAAGTGTGTGATTAAAACCTACCCAGAAAGTGTGTAGGATTACAGATACAAAGTGTGTGATTAAAACCTACCCAGAAAGTGTGTAGGATTACAGATACAAAGTGTGTGATTAAAACCTACCCAGAAAGTGTGGATTACAGATACAAAGTGTGTGATTAAAACCTACCCAGAAAGTGTGTAGGATTACAGATACAAAGTGTGTGATTAAAACCTACCCAGAAAGTGTGTGAGATTACAGATACAAAGTGTGTGATTAAAACCTACCCAGAAAGTGAGTAGGATTATAGATACAAAGTGTGTGATTAAAACCTACCCAGAAAGTGTGTGAGATTACAGATACCTACCCAGAAAGTGTGTGAGATTACAGATACAAAGGGTGTGATTAAAACCTACCCAGAAAGTGTGTGATTAAAACCAACCCAGAAAGTGTGTAGGATTACAGATACACAGTGTGTAATTAAAACCTACCCAGAAAGTGTGTGATTAAAACCTACCCAGAAAGTGTGTGAGATTACAGATACAAAGGGTGTGATTAAAACCTACCCAGAAAGTGTGTTGTGTGATTAAAACCTACCCAGAAAGTGTGTGATTAAAACCAACCCAGAAAGTGTGTAGGATTACAGATACAAAGTGTGTGATTAAAACCTACCCAGAAAGTGTGTGAGATTACAGATACAAAGTGTGTGATTAAAACCTACCCAGAAAGTGTGTGATTAAAACCTACCCAGAAAGTGTGTGAGATTACAGATACAAAGTGTGTGATTAAAACCTACCCAGAAAGTGAGTAGGATTACAGATACAAAGGGTGTGATTAAAACCTACCCAGAAAGTGTGTGATTAAAACCAACCCAGAAAGTGTGTAGGATTACAGATACAAAGTGTGTGATTAAAACCTACCCAGAAAGTGTGTAGGATTACAGATACAAAGTGTGTGATTAAAACCTACCCAGAAAGTGTGTGATTAAAACCTACCCAGAAAGTGAGTAGGATTACAGATACAAAGTGTGTGATTAAAACCTACCCAGAAAGTGAGTAGGATTACAGATACAAAGTGTGTGATTAAAACCTACCCAGAAAGTGTGTAGGATTACAGATGCAAAGTGTGTGATTAAAACCTACCCAGAAAGTGTGTAGGATTACAGATACAAAGTGTGTGATTAAAACCTACCCAGAAAGTGTGTGATTAAAACCTACTCAGAAAGTGTGTGAGATTACAGATACAAAGTGTGTGATTAAAACCTACCCAGAAAGTGAGTAGGATTACAGATACAAAGGGTGTGATTAAAACCTACCCAGAAAGTGTGTGATTAAAACCAACCCAGAAAGTGTGTAGGATTACAGATACAAAGTGTGTGATTAAAACCTACCCAGAAAGTGTGTGAGATTACAGATACAAAGTGTGTGATTAAAACCTACCCAGAAAGTGTGTGATTAAAACCTACCCAGAAAGTGTGTGAGATTACAGATACAAAGTGTGTGATTAAAACCTACCCAGAAAGTGAGTAGGATTACAGATACAAAGTGTGTGATTAAAACCTACCCAGAAAGTGTGTGATTAAAACCAACCCAGAAAGTGTGTAGGATTACAGATACACAGTGTGTGATTAAAACCTACCCAGAAAGTGTGTAGGATTACAGATACAAAGTGTGTGATTAAAACCTACCCAGAAAGTGAGTAGGATTACAGATACAAAGTGTGTGATTAAAACCTACCCAGAAAGTGAGTAGGATTACAGATACAAAGTGTGTGATTAAAACCTACCCAGAAAGTATGTGATTAAAACCTACCCAGAAAGTGTGTAGGATTACAGATACAAAGTGTGTGATTAAAACCTACCCTAGAAAGTGTGGTATCACATATCAACCTGTGCTGATGTGATTTAGTCCTTTGATTTAGATAGTAATCTCAAAACCTTCTTCGTTGTAGTTAACCATGTACCAGGTACATTGGTGTCCTGAAGAAGCCTGAGAGGGCAAAATTAGTCGACAACAATAAGTGTAGGAACTATACCTCTTCATCTGTTGTGATCAGCTTCTACATATTAACAGGTACATATCTGTAGCAACCAATTCACAACAGGAGACCCCACCTTAAATGACTTCAGCTGTTTATGAAGAAACTATTTGTGCTAATAAAAAATCCAACATGTAACAAAAGTGTGTTGGTCTTAGTTGTAAATTATGTAAATATTATGATCTCCGTCACTCAGCATTTATTGACATTTTGTTATTTTATGATCAATAATTGATTGGTTTGATGCCAGTAAATTGACTAAGATCAGCTGTTTCTTATTTTGGGAACGAGATCCCTAAGTTTGGTATACATGTAGATATATTTTAAGATGTTAAACTTTAGCACATACATAAATGTGGCCAGACAATTTGACAACTAATTTTGTACTTTCATTCATTCCTGAATAGTGAACTGTTATCAATACGTCTTCTGCACGCTTTGATGCAGGTAAATGAGTTTTTGGAAAGATGGCAAAATTAGTTTTCAATCACTGTGTGTACTAAAGGGAAACATTTTCTTGAATTATGTCCTATTGTTTACAAAACGAAGTACATGTATTCTCATAATTTTCTTGTCTTACATAACTGTTTTCAGCCATTATTATATTAGTATATAGTTATATACTATTTAATCCTAGTGTTGGCTCCATGAACTTGGGTCTTACCTGATGTTTTTTTCTTTAATTGCATCCCCACAACTTTTAATCTATTTTAATCATGTTAACTGACAAAGGTCAAGTCATATTGATTATAACAATTAATTTCATCATTATGACACAGACATGTTCATTAGATATATAAAAAAAATACACTCAGCAGATTTTAACTGAAAACTAAATTAAAATCAATCACTGTGTTGTTTGTAATTTGTCCACAGACTGAGCTGGAGTTTAAGCTTCACCAGTTTACAATTAATAATACTTTCACAAACAACAATAACAACTGGGGATGGATATCAATATTCCTTTGTATTGAAAACTGCCTGTTTTGGTTAAGGTTTGTATTATACTGCAGTTATATTGATACTGAAACAAGTGTTAAATAAAACAGGGAACACACATACTGTATACTGAGGAAAGTTTCTCCCTTGTTTATAATTTTCGAACATTTTGTCCATGACAAGGTTTATAGTTAGTCCCTAACTAGAACAATTGTCTTTTTTCAAAATACTTAGCAAATATAATCAATGCTAGCCATGTAGCCCTGGTGAAATACTAACCACCACATACCACTCGCAATATACCACTCACAACATACCACTGGGCAAGGGAGAACTTCTCTTTAGCTCGATTGGTTGAGCATCAGAGTAGTATTCCAGGAGTCCTAAGTTCAATTCCTAGCGAAGGCATTGAAATAAATAATGACCTCTGTAACATTGGCACCTGCGTAGGGACCTGGGAATAGTAGCCATGCCTCACCAGCATCGCTGTAACCCTGTAAATTTGAGGACAAGTTATTTCCTGGAGGGGGAGTATGCAACCCTGGTAAAATACTAGCCGCAATATACCACTCGGCAAGGGAGAAGTTCTCTTTAGCTCGATTGGTTGAGCATCAGACTAGTTAGTCAGGGGTCCAGGGTTCGATTCCTAGCGGAGGCATTGAAATACATAATGACCTTTGTTACACTTAGCAAATATAATCGATGCTAGAAGTTATCAGTTATGAGAGTCAACTAATTGATAATTATTCATAATATATGATTATCCCAACACTATTCAGCATGCTCTTTTCTGTTCAAATGACAGAGCTCTGGATTTTCATAGTAAATGACTGTTAATCTCCATACAGCAGTGAAAATATAGATTTTAGCTTACCTGCGGTAAGTGTTAGGAGAAGATTGATATGATCCAGTGAGTTACGGAAAAACTGAGCATAATAAGGCAGATTGGCATGAAGAGAAAGCATGAAGGTAGGTCCTGATGGAGGACATTAATGGGCTCATACAAGAGATAAAAGGAAGCAAAACAATCGGGTGCTGAAAATGTTGTATCAAATGAAAGCTGATTTTAACCAATTCAACTTAAAATGAAGGCTTGATGCTGTAGAAATATCTCAACACTAGGGTATCTCTGTAATGTTGTAGAGGAAAAAAAGAGTGATTTCTTCACCCTCTGAACATACAAGCAGAACTAAATTAAACACATATTTTTATGAAGATTCTGAATTTGATAATTTCAATACATGCCTTATTTGAATAAGACGAAATTTGTACACAGTATCCTTTGAATTGACAACTTGATATTAATGAATAACATGTTGCTGGAAAATAAAAAAAAGAAACAGTGTTGCAAACTCTGGACAGTTTGCTAAAAGTAATCATCGTCATGTCAAAATATGATATATATAGTGTCATTATTTTTACACACGAAACGACCTACAGTGTTTAAGTCTGGCCAAAAAGGCAAACACACATGCATTTACCTAAACACATGTATGCTTGCAAACTTCAACGCTGCTTTTCCTTATCCAATTTTTCATTTACCGTTTTTAAACAAAAGTTAACATAGGAAATGAAATAAAAGATAATATTTTCTCTGTCGATGGTTAACCCGCCTCTTTTTAAAGTGAAAGTAGAAAAGCATACACAAATGTACATACAAGCGCCTGGCAGATGGAGAATCCAAGATGTCTACGCCCATAGAAAGTGTAACAGGCTGCCAGACTTAAAGATGTTTATATATCAACTTGATCGTATTCGATGTTAAACCAACGTGTATTATATGTGATAAGTAAGGTGTTGTCTCCGAGGCATTTGTCTTCAATGTCTTTCGCTAAAATACGGACTGTGCTGGTCGATCTTAGTGGCACTTTACACATCGATAAAGATGAAATTCCAGGTTCGATAGCAGCAGTTAATAGGTAGGTCTGTTACGAACGTTTACAAATGAATTTCTGATTCTTTGAAACCCAGTGTGATTTAAATGAAACATGCTATTTGTCAAAATTGACTTTTTTAGTCGTCAACTGCATGCAAAAGATAGTCTTACGAAAATGACGTATCCCTGTATATAATCAGGTAGGAGCATAGTCAACATTTCGCCATCAGAGTGGTAACTTGAAGCTTCAATATATTCTTTACAAGCTATGGTAATAACACATTCATATACACTAGATTTCTACCGATTCTCGCCTTCACGCGACTTTCTTGAAATGGGTATGATAAACCCATGAATTAACTGTAATGGTTGCAGGCTATCCCAGTCTGATCTGAACTTAAAGTTTGTCACCAACACGACCAAGGAGTCCAAACAATGCTTACTTGACCGACTGACCAGTATTGGATTTAGTGTTCAGCCCTCTCAGATCTTCACCTCTCTCACAGCTGCTCGTTGCCAGATAGATAAGATGGGAGTGCGTCCTTTCTTAATGCTGGACAAAAGAGCGTTGGAGGATTTTAAAGGTAAATAAGTTCAGAACATGAAACATTGTGATTTCATATTTCAACAATGCAAAACTAGCTAGCTTGGTCCAAAGGACAGCACCCGACCTCTGTCTAGTAATTTTTTCCTAAATTTTTAAATCACTTCTAGTCTAGACTCCTAGACAATTGATCACCACTAATTATAACCTTGACCAAATTTGGTCAATTATAATTTTTCACTGCTGAATTTTCAAATTGTCATATACCCACAGTTTGTCCATACAATTCTTTTCATGGCTATTTCTTGAGAAGTATCAGATAAACCTTTCTCAAAGTTCATCTGTATGTTCTCCTTGGTCCTATGTTGTGCCCTTTCTAATTTTGACTGATTAGAAAAAAATGGCAGACAGTTTGCCATCTAGGTTTTTGACACTGAAAGATTATTATTGCCTTGTCTTAAGAAATACTATATGGATCTTTCTCAGATTTCCTTAATATGTTTATCTTGATCTCTGGTTGTGCCTGTTTGATTTAGGGTCTGATAAAAAAAACTGGTAAATCTGAGGCCAAAATGGAATTACTGTTTGTCTCACCGTCCTCAGCTGAGCCAAAAAATCCATCCTGATCAAATTCTTTTTTCATGAAGCTAAAATTATTTTTTTTTTTTGTTTACCTGAGAAATGTCTCAGAGTGACCTATTGCGATCCCCTTTTGACTGGCATTGTGTGTGGTAAATTTTAAAAATTTAATTGAACGGGTTATCATTATGTAGTTTAAATGTTACTTAAACAATACTGTATAAATGTATAAATTTGGGTATAAAAGTTCTAATAAGATACATTTCCTTTTCTCTTCTTTCAATGGGATTCTCCGAATAGAAGTTTTAGAAAGGAAAGATTTTAAATGTTTTCTTTCTGCAAGAATCATGACGCCACATAATCACTCGTTATTATGTCACAGGCATTGTATCTAGGTAACTTATTAAGCATCATGAAGATTCAGGAATGAAATCACTAATACTTAATTCAACATGTTGTTTTAAGTTACTCTAATATATATATATTCACACATATATAGAAAAAGTTAAAAGACAGGAAAACACGACAAGTTGTACAATATAAGCATTTTTAAAAGGGTCAAATTGGCTCACATTTCAAAATTCTTCTTCCCAAATGTTGTAGAATGAAATGCACTTGATAGATATAAGGGTCTTATGATGCTTTACCAAAATTATGAATTTCAAGACCCTAGGGGCTCACATTTCCCTCTTTCTTTTTTATATGACACTTGAAGGCTACCTACATGAAGATATTTTGATGTCCTTTATATATGAAATATTGCTTGTCTCAGGTGACCATCAAGGCTGCTAAGCCTCTTGTTTAGTAACACAACTTTCATCAGTTCTACACCTGATCGGATTCTACCTCATGTGATGTACTGTTATAGACATATTTTCTAGTTTTTCTTTTTCATGAGGGAAAGAAAGGGACATAGCTTCATCCAGTAAACTTGTACAACTTCCTTGCTTTTTCACCAAAATAATCTTTTTTCGAAAAGGACTGGACACCACTAACCCAAATGCTGTAGTGATAGGCTTGGCTCCAGACGATTTTAACTACCAGACTATGAACACAGCTTTCAGGTGTGTAGAGCTACTACATTGGTGAAAGTCATCATTTTTGCTGTGAATCTTTGCTTAGATTTTCCCTAGGATATTGATGGCAAAACAACTATATTTTTTATAATTTCAATTCAGTCATCAATTTTTGCTAAAATTGTTTATTTTTTAATTGACTTAAAGGCAAAGAATGATTAATGTTGATTTAATTTTTCCTTTTAATATAAATGTATTAGGTTTTGATTGACCGACATGATCTGTCAATATTTGCCGGAGTTATTGACTGTAAGTTTGTCTGCATTACTTGTCAACTTCTGGAGTGTTGACTCATACCTGTGGTATTTTGCAAAATTTGTTTCTACTTTCATGAATTCTCAGGGGCAAAGTGGTTCTGACACAGATGAATTTTTTTATGCTCTCAGAAAATTTTCAGATGTCCGTAGCATAACTTTGCTAACAGGTTAAGCAAGGATTCTGAATCTTTTTGTATACCTTGGTCATACTGAGGGGATATACAGTTACAATTGTTAAAATAATGTGTTTGGAGCATAACTTTGCCTGCATATATCCTACTATAATGAAACTTACTGTATACATTGATCATACATAGACGATGTGTGGTGTACCAAATTCAGGGCCTGCAACCCCTTACTAACAGAATCATTGACCTTTGTAAAAAAATTCTTGACTAGAGTACAGTATTGCCCACAGCTAAGCAAAAATAAGGAAACTTAGTGTAAACATTGATCATACTAAAGCAATTTGCTGTGTACCAAATTCCAGACCCTAGACCCCTCAAATACAGAGTTATTGCCCTTTGTTAAGAATACCTTTTCCAGAGCATAACTTGGCTTGCATTTAAAGTATGATAATGAAACATAGTGTACACATGCTTTGCTTATACAAAAATAATGTGTTGTACAAAAGCATGGTATAGTGTAGCAAAGTCACTGCCCATGTCCCCTCAGTGCAGAGTTATAGCCCTTTGTTCACATTTTGTATTATGAGCATAGCTTTGCTTGCATTAAAAATGGGGAAATGAAACTTGATGTATACATTGGTAATACTAAAAGAATGTGCTGTATTCCAAATTCAGTGCCTGCAACCCCTTAATTACAGAATCATTGAACTTATGTAAAATTTTTTGGTCCAATAGATTTGTTTTTCTGGGAGCAGTCTTGAGTTTCATGGATACTCTTGTCATTCAGTGTGTTTCTTACCATGCATCTAAATAGCATAAGCCAGACGAAAACTGGATGGAAATTTCCATTTTATCGCCAAGATTTCACTCGCATACAAAGTCAGGGGGTTGGTCTAATTACATGACACTAAACAGCAATACATATTATTATTACCAGGTATGGACCTGTTGGAAAACATTATGTTAAGAAAGGTTTTAAGTTGAAGGTTTGATTAACAACCAATTTCATTGAAAACAATGGTGACACCTATGTATACTTATAAGCACATATATGACAGTTACATTCAATGACAGAATTTGGGTCATGCAAATTATTAAGGTTCACATCCAATCACAAAATTTTGGCCATGAAAATCATCATGGTTTACAACCAATGACACAATTTGGGACATGAAAATAATGTGACTCGCATTCAGTGACAAAATTTGAGTCATGAAACGCATTATGGTTCACATCCAATGACACAATTTGGGTTATGGAAGTCATGAATAATGTGTCTTGTTAGGTCTGCAGTTTATGTTCTTGAAATCATTTGTTTTTATTCATTTATAAAATGATAAAGAATGGCAAAGTCTCTTTTCTCAGTTCGAATGTGATCTGACATATCACTTGGCAGACACCCTACTAGTTATAATAAGTGGTTATTTCCACAAATCAAAACCAGAAATGTGATCCATATGACGTAACACTTGTCACTGTTAAATACTTTATTAACTTTGTATCAGTACACTCTTGATGTCAGATAGTTTGTCTGATTAACTATGTGTCTGTATAGTACTGATGTCACTGTCAGATAGACAGGGCTTGTCTGATTAACTATGTGTCTGTATAGTACTGATGTCACTGTCAGATAGACAGGGCTTGTCTGATTAACTATGTGTCTGTTTAGTACTGATGTCAGATAGACAGGGTTTGTCTGATTAACTATGTGTCTGTATAGTACTGATGTCACTGTCAGATAGACAGGGCTTGTCTGATTAACTATGTGTCTGTATAGTACTGATGTCACTGTCAGATAGACAGGGCTTGTCTGATTAACTATGTGTCGGTATATTACTGATGAACGGACGAAAGTAAGACAAACCAGAAATATGTAGCTTAATTAAGATATTATAATTTCATGAAGATACTTTATGAATTTGTGATATTCAATCTTTCATTGATGATTATACTAATTGTTGGATCATTTTCAGATTGATTGTTAATGGTGCGGCCTTAGTGGCCATTCACAAGGGAAGGTATTACAAACGTCCAGATGGCCTGGCTTTGGGTCCAGGTATGTACTAATCATTGATATACAGATATACTATTTACCGGGAAATTTTCACACACTTTTTGTTATGTTTTTACCTTTTTGTTTATGTCTATGGTGACGGTATTTGAAATGGGGTGAAAATGTGTTGCATTTATGCTACTTTTTGATAATTCTCACCGGGTAAAGTGAACACGAGGCACCTTCGTGTACATTGTGTAATGATACAAGGGCGAAAATATTCTAATATCCTTATATACCGTATTTGCTAACCAATGAAACCATAGCAGAAGAAATTCATTTTATTTCATCTTGTTTGGGTCACCTTCTTAATCAGAGTTACAAAACAATAAATGACCCATTAACTTTTGATATGGAATGATGGCTTCCAACTTCGTCACTTGTCATATTATTTCTATCCGGAAATACAGTTTATTCATGTTCATTGAAGCCGTAGTCTTCGAAATTTATTTCAGTTTTTTAGTCGTTTGATGAAATTGCAATAAAACTTGATAGTAATGTTAAATACAGAGTGTGATTGGTTTGGGGTGTGTCAGGAATGCAGGATAGTTATCATGTGTGGGTTAACATCCTTTAATGTTGGAAAAGTGTCAGATGTAGGTATTTACAAATGCTCGCAGTAAAACATGGACAGTTACACATTTACCCATCCCGGATAGTTATGTGTGGTTTAACATCCTGTAACGTTAGACATACATGTATACCAGATGTAGGTATTTATAGATGATGCCAGTAACACTGGGACATTGACACCTTTAACCACCAATAGGAACCATCTAACAGCGGCCTGCCTATGCCTTTAACTGATCCTGTTGAAGAGGTTGTGGTTACACATGTTCATGTCCTAATAGGTTGGCTGACATCAATCTGTCATTGAAAGCTTCAAGATATACACAGACGTAATACACTAAACACACAAGGATAACCTTATATGTAGCGTTTTTGCTATATATAGCTATATCTTGTCCAAATAGTCCGCTCCGACACTATCAGTACATTTGATGGCGGGGTTTTGTAACTGAAAAAACTTGTTTAGATAGGTCCGTGGCTGGTAATCTGTCTCTCTATATGTGCAATGTGAATTTTGATATCTGTATACCCACCTTTTCTTTTTCGACAACAGAGTTCACTTTCTGTTGAAGGAGATTCTGACTCAGACATGGGACTGTTCTATTGTGTGCATCTGCTTGTAAAGCTCCTAATTTGGTGTCAGACGCATCTGTTCTTATGATGAAGACCAGTTCCAGATATGAAAGCGTTGTGACTGTCATGTCTGAGAAGTTTCTTAACGTGTCATATGATGCTCACGACTTCCCTTCCAACCAGCTCTATTTGATGTACCGTTCTTTGTCAGGTCTATAGGGGAAATCAAATGATAAAAAACATTGAAGCCACAGAAACGATCATTGACTTACTTCTTGAAGTTCAAGGTCTTTACGTGTTTGCTGTTTCATTCACCATTCCCTCCCATCATTGATTTTTTCCTACAACTTGACAGAGACATCCAAATCCCAACGAACACTGCTTACTCTTGTTGTTAGTTCTGCGTACCTCAACCGAGAAAATTTTTCACCGAGGTCTGACTTTAAATTATTGTACAAGTTCACCTCTCCAGATCTTGACACTGCTTTTCATCACTTTTGATTTTTCTCATTTACCTCCTTGGTTTCAAAATTAACGAGTAGTAGAAGCAAACAACTGTATGGTACAGCTTAATTCATTATAGTATTACTTTATTTAATAATAATTTTGTATTAAAACGTGCTATTCATTTTCATGTCTGTTGTAAAGTCTTTTAAAAGTATCAGTCCTTACCTAAGCATGTCTTCAGTATTTAGCACTGGTTCTGCCTGGAACACGGTCACATGATTGAGTTCTCGGAAGACAACACAGGACTTGTTCAGTCTTTTCTTTTCCCTAATTGCTGAATATGGTCATGTACGATGGCTCTAGAACATTAATTTTCATCAATTTCTCAAATTCCTCCCTTTAGGGTAGATAATAGGCTGTCAGTCTTTAATATTGATATGAATCTTGAGTTTGGACAAGTTAACACACCCGTCACCAAACTCCTCCTTGTTTCTGTCACCCATTAAGTGTTCAAGATTACTGTTTTCTCCCATCTCTTCCTCTTGACCACTCCAATCCTACTTCCACTCAGTGGTCATAACGCAGGTAAGAAATATTCGTTTGTTTCTTTTGTCATTCCGATCTACATATTTCTACAGTAGATTGATGAGGAAGACCATAATCTTATTCCAAAACTTAAAATCCAGAATTCTTCTTTGTTTGTGGAAATGCATCCAGTTTCCCGCAGTACGGTAGTTTGTCTTACCCCCATTCACTCCGTACCTACTGCCATATCATATGAATCTGGTATCCTCATATTGCCCGAATTACAAAGTTTTGAATTCTTTTTCACAACATCTTTGTGATCTTGCAATCCTCTCGGAATACCTCTGCATTGTTTATTACTGGATCCCTCTACCGGAACTAGATACACAGACGTCTAACTAAAGCCATACACCGATACATCCGTGGTAGATCCTTGGTTTTTCTGGAGTTCGTTATCTGTGGAGCCACCACTAGCGTAATTACGAACACCAGTCTTTGAAGTAATAAGTGCCGTCTTTGGCCCTTTTCCCCTCTGCTTATTCAACTTCGCCGTATCCTTATCCGACAGTTGTTTTCTCGGTCTCTTTCATCTTCATTGATATTTGTCAACTATTATAGTAAACTAAGCAAAAGTCTGTCCCACTTTTGGTCAGCAGTTTAGAAAATTTCTTCCAGAATTGCTACCAGAAATTTGCTTCAGTCTACTGAAATCGAAGCAAGAATGTCTTCTCAAATTTTGAAACCCAAAATAGCGGGACCATAAAAAATCTGTCTGTTTGCATATAGATTGTTTTTAAGAGAGCTTAAGGTTATCCCCATTTGAGGTGTTGGATGTCGAAGTTCTTAATTCCAACATTGAACTCACATTGCAAATAACATTTAGTGTCTGTATTGCCGATGGGAAATATTTCACGAAATCACAGAGATACACTGTAAATATCAATAGAATATGAAGCCCACAGCCTTGAAGATATCAAATTTTGTACTCATCCACCAATTGTTGTTTTCCTTGGTTTGTCCGTATTAAGCTTTATGACCTTTGATTTTTAGTTTTAAATTGATCTTCAGTGATACGTCAACCAGAAATATTGGTGTATATATAACACACAATTGCCAATACATGACGTTCCTTTGTTAGAAAATTCTATCTTATGAATGTTATCCAGGCCCATTTGTGTCAGCCCTAGAATATGCTACCGATCGGAAGGCTGATGTTGTCGGGAAACCAGAGAGATCATTCTTTTTGTCAGCCATTGAAGAGTTCCAGTGTCGCCCAGAAGAATGTATCATGATTGGAGATGTAAGTATTCAACTCGATGAATTCGTCACGATTTTGTTGAAACACCTCTCTGACTTCACCACAGAGATTTACATACTCGTCCGTTTTATTACGAGTCCCTTTAATTACACCAGTGATCGATCGGGAAAATGCTTGAACACATTTTGAACAATTCTTCAGCAGTAGTGTTCATTTACCGTCTTTGGGGCTGAAATATTTCTTTTCACCACATCCACCATTTTTGTCACTTCTGGTTATAACTAACATAGTTCTATAGAGTGGTACACGTTTTGCATTCAATGTACCGCGGTCACTGTTCTGACATGTAGCATTATACTTTGCTTATCAAGTTTATAATCTCTCATGGTGGAGTTTATTAAGGTGGGCACGTGCTGAAAAGTTGTTCGCATTTAAGGTACAACATAGATATTCCATGTCTCTTTTTCAGGACGTGCGAGATGATATAGGGGGCGCCATGGCAACAGGCATGTATGGGATTTTGGTGAAAACAGGTATTTAAGAGTATTCAAAATAATGTTATATACTGTGAAATAACATCATAACCAGTTCCCACCTCAACCACTCAATAGAGTATAAACTGTCTTGAAATGATGTCTGAATTTATTCGTTGGAAGTGAATTTTAAGTCACTTATTCAGTGTACAAAGAGTAAAGTTCAATCTAAAGAATCAGAGTGATATCAATTGATCGTGAATTTACTATTTCTATGGTAACCTGTTAAAGGCGTACTACTTTAATAAATTATATCTTCTGTTTCCCTTACATTCATTAGGAAAGTACAGAGATGGAGATGAAAACCAAATTGACCCGAAGCCGACGTTTACCGCTGATAATTTCTCAAAGGCTGTGGATCATATCTTACAAAACTTATGAAGACTTACTTAGATCATCGGTCTGTTTCCTGTTCTATGTGAAGTAGGAATCTAGCACTTTAAAAGTAGATATTCCATTGTCGTAGCTACATATATTGTGATGGTAGAGTGTTATAAGTGTGTTGCGATAACAGATATGTCAAATACCGGTAAAATGAGAGTCAACCATCAGATGAAATGTCATCACATTGCACAAAAAACAGACGTTAAGATATAGAGAGAATGAAATGTTTTCATAAAACAAACAAAACTTACTGTGGAGGTAAACATTTTAGCGTTTATCTTATTTTAGCGCTCTTGTGCATTTTCTGTAACTGTTGTAACAGCGATAATGCATTCACGAATTCGTGTGATACCTTTGTTGAGATGTTTGTTAGTAAAAGCCTCGAACAAGTCATACTACACTAGCAGTGATTTGTTCATGTGTCAAAATTCATAATTCATTTTGTGTAGATCTGGACGGTTATACATGACCCTTTTTATATATTGTGGTGTGAATAGGATGACATTTAACATGTGTAAATATAGGTTGTAATATTGATTATGAAACATATCGGAATACTATGTGAGTTGTTGTATCAGGGCCTATCCTGTCGTTAAATTGCTGTCTTGTATGGCATTATCCACAACACCTGGCAGCTACCAAAAAATCAAATGAAAACGTACTGAAAAGCTGCTCTGGTATTTCGTCCATGTCATGGCGTTAACCTGAAAACTTTCTTCACCATCGTTAAGTGATATGGAACTTTTGCAGAATAAGCTGAGAAGCAGTTATGGTACAAAACACGGAAAGACAACATTGAGTACATGTAAATGACATTTTCACACCCCTATATATTAGAGCTGGCCTATCGTCATGTGTTGTCTTTGTTGGTGACCTACGAGTTTCAAGTTGAGGAAGGTATTAAAACAGTTTTTTTTTGTATGGACGGTCTTTTATTAATTTATGTTAAAGAACCGATAACAAAATTATTGTTAGATATGACAGGCAAAGAGGATACATGGTCGGTGTATGAAAATATTAAGTATAGTTTGGAGAAGAAGCACTTCTGTCTTGCTTTTCATATCGAAAATGCAGCTTATATTTTAAGACACAGGCCATGTATTATACTTATTCTGCAACATTTGTTGCAGAACATTTAACAGTTTCTTTGTTTACCTAACATTGACCTTATACTGAATTTTGGCTTGATTACGGACGCCAAAATAATTACTCAACTCGGAAAGATAGTTCCGAACTTCAATATATATACAAAATGGACACTGTAACAATTTTATGAATTTCGTAAAAATAAATTCGTTCATATACACATTTAAGTTAATCAGAAAATAATTCTGTCGGATTAATGTACTCGTTGAAACAGCTGTTTACCATCATTGGCGAACACGGCATATGTGATAACGCCGAATGCTTAAACAAAAGTCATGTACATTCGATGAACACACGTGTTAATTATTTAAATATTGTCTTCAGGCGAGATTTAATACTGTTACTCCACGATGAGAATTGCGGGTATTTCCTTACATTTATTTTACTACGTAGACAATCAAATCTGTAACAATCGAGAAGAGCATTAATATCTTCTTGGAGCTAAAGACCAATCTTTATTACGAAAAATGATATATCAAAGTCCCAATGAAAACACTTCAAATAAATCAGTACTTTTATTTCTCGTTGAAGAGGACACATTTGTCTTTTATGGGAAACCGAGATTTACTCCAATATGGAATGTATGCCAGAAGACAAAGCAGAGAAATTCGAGACGATCACTTTCGCTCTCTGCACCCCTGGAACAGTTAATGGCAAAATTGTGGTTTCCATGTGCGACACCTTGTGGACAAGATGAAGAGACTAGTTTGATCCTTTGATGCACATAAAACTAATCTCGCGGCCGCATAACGGTATATTGTAATGAGCGCATCAGCCTGTGATTGGTCAATTTTTGTCGTCCTGGAAGCAATCAACTTATTTCGCGTGTGCCTTCAATTTTGCCATGACATGTTCCAAGGTGTAGATATCTTGGAGTATCGAGGATGGATACCACGTGACCTGACTCACCTGTATTGTTACAAATTGGTAAGACGAAATAAAACGCGACTCCTGGCGTCGGATATACGGTCGTATGATGATACATGATACAGTGCATGGTTCACCAGACCTTCGGCCCGTCTTGTCTGGAAGATATTTCTTGGACTGTTATTTATTAATTTCTTTACTTGATATCTTCGATGTATTTGTGACAAGATTATACGGGTTGTTATGTGTGTATTATCTATCGATTATCCCTCCTATCAATTTATTACATATCAGTAAGTAATCTACAACATCTGTTCTTAATCTGACATCGCACGAGAGTCACGTGGACTTGATATTGAATCTTCCAGTCAAGTGTCCCAATGAGACGTCCATACGATTTGCCAAGTTCATTTGGCCTTCTTTCTCACAATTCGTAATCATCTTTGATTTAGTATCACATATTAAAACTCCAAATATGGTCTTTAGGTAACAGGTTTCATCATCCTAATATTCTCAACCCGAAATGTGAAGGATATTATGTAATTTGAACTTTTCGTTTCTCTGCGATCTTTCATCAGTGAAATAAAAAGGCACCGCAGTTTTCAGTCCTACTCCTAGATATCCGTAACGGAAGGTTTAGTGTCTTTACATTCATATAGCAAAGCTGAGGTGATTACTGTTCTGCACCCAGTCCCAAAGGACAGGGTACCCAGTATAGAGTTTTAGTGGTGTTGTAAACCTTCTGTAGATGGAAACGTTCAAGTCATTTTGTCCGATCACTTCTGAACTAGACTACGTCACTCATATCAATCCATATATTAATTTGATCTGATCTCCTATACAGACGGCCATAGCTTGTAAAACTGGTTTATAATGTTCTATAATTGACGCTCAGCTTAAACCATAGAAAATTTACAATGTGACGATGCAGTGACACTTCAGAATATGGACATGTTCTTGAAGTTGTTCTCAAATTATTAGTTAGATTAATGAAATTAAATGAAAATTATTATCTTGGTAATTATACAGCAATTGCAATCTCCCAAGTAGGACTTCTCATTCGATCAATATGAATTTTCCTCTTAGACTTCAAAATTTAAGCTCTTATCATCACTGAAGATCCTTAGAAAGACGTAACAGATGTATGCTGCAGTTTAATTTATTGTCCGGCACTTATGTATCTATCTAAAATTTGTATTAACAATTGTTATTCACTTGCGTGTCATTTGTACAATCTTAAGTGAAATGATATTATCGCCAATCAGTGGCTTCATCGTCCGTGGACAGAGTCTCCATGTGACATAAACCAAAATAATTGATGTTATTTCAAACAAGGGCTGTAATATTTACTGTAAAAAATGTTGATGTGTTCGACTTCCATAATCAGCTAACAAACACGAATTTGTACACTTAAGAACACCACATTTAACAGACTGAACATATTGATCAGTGTATTTTCTTGTTGGCATCAGATATCTTCTCCATGGCGAGTGTTATCTCGAGCGTGTTTGTACTTAACCCTGCTAAAGGACGGAAACACTAAGGTACGGTATTGACACTCGTTTAATAGTCCCATGACGACCATACACACCACTCCCCAAATCTCGGCTGAAATCCTGACCTAAACTAATAGTGTAGTCTATTTACATGTTCCGTGTCTCGGTCTAACCTGTTTACTGTCTAAATGTAGCTTGTACACATGTTTACTGTCTCAGTGTAGCTTGTACACACGTTTACTGTCTCAGTGTAGCTTGTACACATGGTTACTGTCTCAATGTGGCTTGTACACATGTTTACTGTCTCAGTGTAGCTTATACACATGTTTACAGTCTGTGTGGCTTGTACACGTTTACTGTCTCAGTGTAACTTGTACACATGTTTACTGTCTCAATGTAGCTTGTACACATGGTTACTGTCTCAATGTAGCTTGTGCACACGTTTACTGTCTCAATGTAGCTTGTACACACGTTTACTGTCTCAATGTAGCTTGTACACACGTTTACTGTCTCAATGTAGTTTGTACACATGTTTACCGTCTCAGTGTAGTTTATACACATGGTTACTGTCTCAATGTAGCTTGTATACATGTTTACTTTTGCAGTGTAACTTGTACACGATTACTTTCTCAATGTAGCTTGTGCACACGTTTACGGTCTCAATGTAGCTTGTACACACGTTTACTGTCTCAGTGTAGCTTGTACACACGTTTACTGTCTCAATATAGCTTGTATACATATTTACTGTCTCAGTGTAGCTTGTACACATGGTTACTGTCTCAATGTAGCTTGTACACATGTTTACAGTCTGTGTGGCTTGTACACACGTTTACTGTCTCAGTGTAGCTTGTACACATGTTTACTGTCTCAGTGTAACTTGTACACATGTTTACTGTCTCAATGTAGCTTGTACACATGGTTACTGTCTCAATGTAGCTTGTGCACACGTTTACTGTCTCAATGTAGCTTGTACACACGTTTACTGTCTCAATGTAGTTTGTACACATGTTTACCGTCTCAGTGTAGTTTATACACATGGTTACTGTCTCAATGTAGCTTGTATACATGTTTACTTTTGCAGTGTAGCTTGTACACATGGTTACTGTCTCAATGTAGCTTGTACACATGTTTACAGTCTGTGTGGCTTGTACACACGTTTACTGTCTCAGTGTAGCTTGTACACACGTTTACTGTCTCAGTGTAACTTGTACACATGTTTACTGTCTCAATGTAGCTTGTACACATGGTTACTGTCTCAATGTAGCTTGTGCACACGTTTACTGTCTCAATGTAGCTTGTACACACGTTTACTGTCTCAATGTAGTTTGTACACATGTTTACCGTCTCAGTGTAGTTTATACACATGGTTACTGTCTCAATGTAGCTTGTATACATGTTTACTTTTGCAGTGTAACTTGTACACGATTACTTTCTCAATGTAGCTTGTGCACACGTTTACGGTCTCAATGTAGCTTGTACACACGTTTACTGTCTCAGTGTAGCTTGTACACACGTTTACTGTCTCAATATAGCTTGTATACATATTTACTGTCTCAATGTAGGTTATACACATGTTTACTGTCTCAATGTAGGTTATACACATGTTTACCGTCTCAATGTAGCTTGTGCACACGTTTATTGTCTAAATGTTGCTTGTACACTAGTTTACTGTCTCAATGTAGCTTGTACACACGTTTACTGTCTCAATGTAGCTTATACACATGTTTACTGTCTCAATGTAGCTTGTGCACACGTTTATTGTCTAAATGTTGCTTGTACACTAGTTTACTGTCTCAATGTAGCTTGTACACACGTTTACTGTCTCAATGTAGCCTATACACATGTTTACTGTCTCAATGTAGCTTGTGCACACGTTTATTGTCTAAATGTTGCTTGTACACTAGTTTACTGTCTCAATGTAGCTTGTACACACGTTTACTGTCTCAATGTAGCTTATACACATGTTTACTGTCTCAATGTAGTTTGTACACATGTTTATTCTCTCAGTGTAGCTTGTACACACGTTTACTGTCTCAATGTAGTTTGTACACATGTTTACCGTCTCGGTGTAGTTTATACACATGGTTACTGTCTCAATGTAGCTTGTACACATGTCAACTGTCTCAGTGTAGCTTGTACGCATGTTCACTGTCTAAAATTAGCTTGTACACATGTTTACTGTTTCGTAGTAGCTTGTACACACGTTACTGTCTCAATGTAGCTTGTACACATGCTTACTTTTGCAGTGTAACTTGTACACGATTACTTTCTCAATGTAGCTTGTGCACACGTTTACGGTCTCAATGTAGCTTGTACACACGTTTACTGTCTCAGTGTAGCTTGTACACACGTTTACTGTCTCAATGTAGCTTGTACACACGTTTACTGTCTCAATGTAGCTTATACAGAAGTTGACGGTCTCAATGAAGCTTGCATACGTTTTCTGTTTCAATGTATCTTGTACACATGTTCACTGTCTAAATTTAGCTTGTACACATGTTTACTGTTTCGTAGTAGCTTGTACACACGTTACTGTCTCAATGTAGCTTGTACACATGTTTACTGTCTTAATGTAGTAGCTTGTACATACGTTACTATCTCAATATAGCTTGTACACACGTTTACTGTCTCAATGTAGCTTGTGCACACGTTTACGGTCTCAATGTAGCTTGTACACATGGTTACTGTCTCAATGTAGCTTGTACACATGTTTACTTTCTCAATGTAGCTTGTAAACATGGTTACTGTCTCAATGTAGCTTATACACATGTTTACTGTCTCAATGTAGCTTGTACACACGTTTACTGTCTAAATGTAGCTTATACACACGTTTACTGTCTCAATGTAGCTTGTACACACGTTTACTGTCTCAATGTAGCTTGTACACACGTTTACTGTCTCAATGTAGCTTATACAGTTTCGTACAATGTAGCTTGTAACATGTGCATACGTTTACTGTTTCATTATCTTGTACTGTTTTACAGTAGATCATACACTACATACTGTAGACATCATTGTATACATGTTTACAATGTATAGCTTGTACACACGTTTACTGTCTAAACATACATTTTACTGTCATTACAATGTAGTCTTGTACACATTTCACTGTCTAATTTATACAGTAGATCATACACTACATAGTGTAGACATCATTCATACTGTAGATCATACTCTACATACTGTAGACATCATTTATACAGTAGATCATACACTACATACTGTAGACATCATTTATACAGTAGATCATACACTACATACTGTAGACATCATATATACAGTAGATATCATTTATACATCACTACATACTGTAGACATCATTTTATACAGTAGATCATACACTACATACTGATACATTTATACAGTAGATCAGACATCATTTATACAGTAGATCATACACTACATACTGTAGACATCATTTATACAGTAGATCATACACTACATACTGTAGACATCATTTATACAGTAGATCATACACTACATACTGTAGACATCATTTATACAGTTATGTAGACATCATTTATACAGTAGATCATACACTACATACTGTAGACATCATTTATACAGTAGATCATACACTACATACTGTAGACATCATTTATACAGTAGATCATACACTACATACTGTAGACATCATTTATACAGTAGACACTACATACTGTAGACATCATTTATACAGTAGATCATACACTACATACATATCATTTATACAGTAGATAGACATACTGTATCATTTATACAGTAGATCATACACTACATACTGTAGACATCATTTATACAGTAGATCATACACTACATACTGTAGACATCATTTATACAGTAGATCATACACTACATACTGTAGACATCATTTATACAGTAGATCATACACTACATACTGTAGACATCATTTATACAGTAGATCATACACTACATACTGTAGACATCATTTATACAGTAGATCATACACTACATACTGTAGACATCATTCATACAGTAGATCATACACTACATACTGTAGACATCATTTATACAGTAGATCATACACTACATACTGTAGACATCATTTATACAGTAGATCATACACTACATACTGTAGACATCATACTGTAGATCATACACTACATACTGTACACATCATTTATACAGTAGATCATACACTACATAGAGACATCATATATACAGTAGATCATACACTACATACTGTAGACATCATTTATACAGTAGATCATACACTACATACTGTAGACATCATTTATACAGTAGATAGACATCATCATTTATACAGTAGATCATACACTACATACTGTAGACATACAGTAGATCATACACTACATACTGTAGACATCATTTATACAGTAGATCATACACTACATACTGTAGACATCATTTATACAGTAGATCATTTATACTGTAGATCATACACTACATACTGTAGACATCATTTATACAGTAGATCATACACTACATACTGTAGACATCATTTATACAGAAGATCATACATGTAGACATCAGTTATACAGTAGATCATACACTACATACTGTAGACATCATTTATACTGTAGATCATACACTACATACTGTAGACATCATTTATACAGTAGATAATACACTACATACTGTAGACATCATTTATACACTAGATCATACACTACATACTGTAGACATCATTTATACAGTAGATCATACACTACATACTGTAGACATCATTTATACAGTTGATAATACACTATACTGATACTGTAGACATCATTCATACAGTAGATCATACACTACATACTGTAGACATCATTTATACTGTAGATCATACACTACATACTGTAGACATCATTTATACAGTTGATAATACACTATACTGATACTGTAGACATCATTCATACAGTAGATCATACACTACATACTGTACACATCATTTATACAGTAGATCATACACTACATACTGATACTGTACACATGATTTATACAGTAGATCATACACTACATACTGTAGACATCATTTATACAGTAGATCATACACTACATACTGTAGACATCATTTATACAGTAGATCATACACTACATACTGTAGACATCATTTATACAGTAGATCATACACTACATACTGTAGACATCATATATACAGTAGATCATACACTACATACTGATACTATATCACTTATACAGTATTTGACTGACTATCTTTTCTATTAATACGAATATCGGTGGAAAAAATCGTTCTCCTTTGCATTTTCCAACATCAGCTTACACATACTTAAAATAATTTGAATGGCCATTTTCCCCCATAGCCTGTAAACTTTCTCGCTGACAAACAGTTGTTTAGATAAGACATCCAAGTGTTTTTTATTTATATTGACGCTATTCGGTTGAACTCCATGGTACAGCAGTTAATCGTCTGCTTCCTTCCTGTTTCACTTATGTCGTGGCGGACGTCATATATTATTTGTGGGAATACACACATGTGATTTTAGGCGTTTCTCGCTGTTAAAGGGCAGTTTACATTTGGTACAAGTATATGGCCAGTCCCCAGAGTGATGTCGTAAATGAGCTATCATGGCATAACGATTTTGGTACACCTTATTACAAGTTGGACATTTTAAGTTTATCTTCTTGGTATGTAATGTTTTGTGCTGCTCAAGTCGACCTTTAGTGGAAAACATCTGTCCGCAAACAGAGCAAGATATACGATATCTTGTGGCACCGTGGACTTTTACCATGTGTTTTTGACGCTCAACAATTGTCTGGAAATCTTTCTTACATATCTTACAGTTGCAAAGATATCTAGGTTTAGTGCTTACTGCATTTTCCTTAGGTGTGCTTTTACAAGTCGACGGAAAAAGTATTGCATTCTGTGTCGAATTTACTGGATTGTTAGCGGTTTTGGCATGAACTGAAGTCATGTGACGTTGTTTTTCCGACATGGACTGGAACTGTATTTGGCAGTCAGTACAGGCGTATGGTTGTTGCGGATGACATTCCGCTATGTGGTACTGAAGTCTTTCGATCGTGGCAAATGGAATGAAACAATCCTCACATTTATGTATCAAAGCATCATGTCTGTGAATTTTGTGCCGTTTAAGGGCATCTTTAGTTCCGAATGTGTCCTGACAGGTATCGCACGTGAAGAGTCTTTCACGATGAACGTTCCATAAATGTTTTTCTAACTTAATCGCCTCTTTGTACACTGCTCCACACACACAACACGTTTCACCTTTGGTGTCTTTATTTGCGTGCATCATTTTAACATGTGCCTCAAGATTTTCGTTATCCCGGAATTGTTCCCCACATACCGTACACTTAACATCTACCGTTGCCTTCTCACGTGTTTGTAAATCCTGGCTATCCAGAGTTAGACACGCTACATTATCGTCGTTGTGGATTTTCATGTGCTTTTTAAGTCCGACAATAGTGCCAAACGTCTTACCACACACCTTGCACGTATGCTCGTTCAGAGCATTGGAGTGCAGAGTTTTGCGTCTCTGTAGGGAGTCGACATTAGTGAAGGTTTTGTTACCATGACTACCATTGTATTGCAGATCATCAGAGGCCCGACGACCCGTTGTTATCGGTACCTGTGCCCCCGACGTATTCATTTTCACTTGTGACAGGTCGTTTTTTTCTGGAACATTGTTTCTGTTAGGTTTCCTTCTTATTACATCTATATCCTTTTGGTCGTGAGCTGTTTCCATATGACGCTTGAGATTGTTTGCAAGCGCGTACCTATTGTTACACACATAACATCGAAATTGTCGGGTATCCTCGTGTATTCTCCTGTGTTCTGCTAGGGCTGTTGTCCTCACGAACCCCTTTCCGCATATGTCACAAATGAATTGTCTAGACTTTTCACACTCCTTTTCATGATCCACGTAGTCTTGATGGTTTACAAATTCCTTAGAACATCTGACACAAACATCTTCTGAACACTGATGATGTGTTCGTTTATGAGTCTTGAGCGTTTTAATGCTATTGTATTGCTGACTACAAACGCTACATTTGTGCAGAGAAATTTGGTTATGGGTTAAGAGGTGTAATCGGAGGCCGGCAGCATTGTTGAAGGTCTTATCACAGATATCACATATGTACATCTTGTCGCCCTCGTGGAGTTTGTAATGTCTTTTTAGACTAAATATTGTCTTATAATCTTTGTCACATATGTTGCACGTGTACATGTTCGACCCGGATACTTTCCCTGAACGAGATTTGTTATCTTTCAAATCCGTATCATTTGATTCCGTATGGGATCTACAGTGGTCTCCAATCTCTTCAAGAGTTTTAAAACTCTGATCACAAATGTCGCATTTATAACTCTCTGAATTTATCTCGCCAGTTGATCCGTCTACAATGCCTTTTTTTACAAGTTTGCTTCTCTTCTTATCATCCAACAGGTTTAGTTGTGCAGTGACAGTGTCGACGCTATTGGTACTAACAGGGCACTTATCTTGTGTGAGTGTTTCAACGGCAGTCTCTTTACAGTTATCACAATGTATCGTATTGTGTACGGATACATTTTTGACACTTGTGAATTTCTGGTCACATTTCATACAAGTGTTTACACTGTCCGTGTCTTTGTTTTCAACAAGATCATTTACATCTGATTCAACACAATCTCCACCATCGTTTTCAATATTATGTGCTACAGCTGTTACTTGTGGTTCATTGTTAACGATTTTGCGTGTTTTCTTCCTTGCAGCATTAGTACTTCTTGTTGTTAATGTGTCGCACTTTTCCTCATTTCTGTTTTCTGTGTGGGCTTTGGCATGTTTCTTCAGTGTACTGAGGGAAAAAAACTCTACATTGCATACGGTACATCTGTAGGGACGGCATTTCCCTGTGTGTCCCTTTTTGTGACATTCCAAACTATTGAGGTTAGGAAACTGCTTTAGACAGAGATCACAGTTATGTAAAATCTGTGTCTTATGTGAACTTCTGTGTGACTGGTAAGTCCATATGTCCTTGAACACTTCACCACACACATCACACTGGAACTTGTGTGTGTGTGTTTTCATATGACGCAACAAGAATTTGGTTGCGTCGAACTGACGTGTACAAAACCGACATTTGTATCTCATCGCTCCAATCTTCATACTATCAGTAACATTATTGGTCTGCTTTATCGCACTTGGTGTTTTAACGTTTTCAGATTCAGGCTCATCAGCTCTAGAAGGGTTTGGTCGAAACACTATCCGACGGGCGGAGATTTTTGGATGATACTTCATGTGTATTCTAAGCCCCTGTTTGGAATTACAAACTCGCCCACACATTAAACATTGGTTCTCTATATTTCCTCTGACATCTGGTTTTGTTGCCAATGCGGTTTCCGTCACTTTTTGCATCTTGGCTTGAACACTTTCTGAGGTAGCGGTATCTGCAAACAATATTCGTTCACGAGATTTTTCTGACGCGTCGTCGTCATGAATTACCATATGAAGCCGTATTCCTCTTATCGTACTGAAAGTCCGTTGGCAGATCAGACATTTGAAAGGAAAAAGAAGCTTAGAGCCGGCATGACATTGTCTACAATTTTCACTCAGTGCGGACGTGCATGGGAACGCTTTACAACAGATCAGGCACTGACTGTTTAGACTAACCGTGGGTAGGATTGACGACGAAGATGTGGAAGCGATTTGAGAATCCTTTTGGAATGAGGATAAATTTTCATCGATCGAAGGCGTTTGAGTTTGATTGACAGTGCTGTCCGTCCGAGATAAAGTTTCGTTTATTTCACTGGTTTTGTCTCCTGTTTTGTTGGTTTTTCTCTGCATTTTTTCGCTATGAGCCACAATTACATGACCTCGGAGTTTTAGATATGTGAGAAAGGATTGATTACATAGTAAACATTTGAAGTTGTGAGTTGTTGATGGACGACGAGCGTACTCCTCTCTTGTGTGATAATTACTATGTAAACGAATCCCTTGTAGAGATCCAAATGCTCGATTACATATCAGACATTTGAACGGGTTGTCCGTTGAAGCACAGTCATGGGCGTTAAGTTGTAAAAGGCTCGAAAATTTCATCCCACATGTACTGCATTCTTCTTTTGGGTGTGACCTCCCTTCATGTACACGAAGGGAATGTAGATTAGGATAGGTTCTATTGCAAACTGCGCATACGAGACTTATTTTTCCTCCGAGCACACCCTTCTCTTTGTTTTTGTTAAGATGTGCAACAGGACGATTCGACAATGTCGTCACATCGCTACGGTCATATACAGGTGACTGCAAAATAGAGCGCAATACAGGATTGGTTTGTGTATGAAGCACGTGTGTCCCAAGGTCATCCAAGGACGAAAAATGATCACCACAGGTTTTGCTCTTATTAACGTTTCGGTCTTCATGATTGTGGTTACTTGTCGACTCGTTTTCAATGTGTATGGCACATTTCCCGTCCGAAGTTTCACGCTCATGAAAATTATTATCAAAATTATCTTTTCGTAACGTTTCCTGCAAACATAGCCTTTTCTTGTACATGCCAGCAGGGAGGTTCTTGATAAGGACCGACCCGGAAAAGGCTTTAATCAGTATACTCAATCTTTGAATTTTTATTGTGGGTGATGTAACATGGACGAGACAGTGTAAATGCAAATCTTCCGCTGACCGGAAAACACATTTACAGGCATCGCAAGTATGCATTTTAACCCGTGACACGGCATTTGATTTATCACTATTAGATAGGAGAGGTACTTCCGGTTCTGGGAGGTCTTTGTCCTCAGTTGAAAAAGTACCTGATACCATCGGTAACACGCTTTCTTGGGGACATGCCTTGGAAATATCCATATCTAAATGCCCCCTGATATGTTCCTCGAGTTTTGATGGTATCGAAAACGAGAGACCACATCTGCCACACTTATATAGCATTGTTGAATCTAAAACACTACCATCTTTGTCTGCACAGAGCGACTTGGCATCGTTAATCGTTATACTTTCTTTTTTCGAACTACATTCACTCTGATCCCCCACCTGGGTTTCCTTTTCACTCCTGTGCTGTTTTCTGTGACGCTGGTGTTCAGATTCAGAATCAAATATTCTTTCACAAATGTCGCATTTCAATGCATCCTTCGTTATCTTATCTTCCGTGGATGTATTAAAATTCAAGAGGTCAAATATACCAAGGCGTTCCACTTTTACTGGTTCATCTTTTGAACTCTGTTTTTTAACAAGATGTTTGCCTTTCTTACTTTCAGTGTCAAACAAGTTGGTTGTTGATATTTCATTTCCAATCGGACGTTCATCATTGCTATCCTGAGATGATGATGTCAAAAATTCCATTTCAAATACGCTCACACGTGGTCGCGTCTGTTTAATATTTTCCAATTTAGATACAGATTCCTTATCGCTAGATGAATGGCTTACACAGTGAGAGTGAAATGATAGTATCGAATCAATCACTATCCCACACACACTACATTTATACGAATTCTGGTCGTCTTCATGTTTGGAAATGTGGCCATTTAACCTAGCAATGCTATGGAACGTTTCCTGACAGAGACCACATCTGTAGGGTTCTGAATTCCCTACGCCCTTGTTATCACTCCTGATCTGGCCACTACGGTCATCTTGGGCTCTGATGGAGAGTTTTCCTGACGGACCTTGTGCTGATTTATCGTGATCACATGATAGCTTTTCTGAACCAGATGTCTGGCTTGTCGCAATATTTTTGTTTACTTCCAGTGTGTCGTGTTTTGTTTGATCTGCGGTGGAAGAATCTTTGTTGTGATCATCGATATGGCGTTGAAGGTCGGCGAGAGTGGAAAATTCATTGTTACATTCCCCACAGCTGTACATGACACTGTCGGCAAGATCTTGCCCAGAGTCATCAGACTCTTCTTGCCAGTCGTCATTCTCCACTTCAACATCGTCGTCGATCAAAACATTCGAGTTAGAAACAGTAACGTCCACTGTGGCCTCGCTAGTTTCAGAAGCTGGAGTATGCCCGTTCGGATCAATATTCTCTGACAAATCGAATACAACATTGTCGTCAACAGCATCAGAAATTGCGCCATTACTACCCTCATTCATAGTTACCTCGTCTTGAAAAGACTCCAAGGAAAGGACTTGACTAGGTTTCACGTGTGATTTGGTATGCGCCTGCAGTAGGTCAAAACGCTGAAACATTTTCCCACAAAAGACGCATCGGAATGATCTTCCTTTCCAACACTTATTTCGGTACTGGTGTTTTCGCAATCTTTGTTTGTTTATAAATCCCATGCCACACCAATTGCACGTGATATCCTGCGTAGTATTATGGACTTTTTGGTGAACGATGAGCTGATGCTTTTCTTTGAATTTCATATCACAAACGCTACATTTATGAATCTTGGTTGCGGTGTGCGTGAGCTGATGAACCTGGTAACTGAGTATGGACTCAAACTCGTCGGTACATTTAAGACATTTGTACATGTTTCGAACTTCATGGCGTTCAGGGATATGCTCATCAAATTTCTCTTTGGATGGAAACTCGATGTTACAGACGGTACACTTTCTTATTTCTTTCACGTGTGTTTGTAGATGGAGTAAATATGGTTCCTTTTTAAAGAAATGTTTTGGACACAAAGAACACTTAAATTTCAGTGTTGAAGAGTGACCCTTTGCTATGTGTTTGTTTAAGTTAACCTTTCTGGAAAAGATTCTTTCGCACTTCTCACATTTTAGCATCGGTCCATTGTGTATTGCCTGATGACGCGCCAACATGAACGAACTCGCAAACTCTTCGTCACAGATATCACACTCATAACTATTTATCTTACTCTCATCACACTGGTGTCTTGTATATTGCTCGAGTCGTCCAAACGTTTTACGACACTTTTCACATCTTTTCACAATTTCAGACACTTTGTGTTTCCTATTGTGTAGCATGCCCCAATGATGTCCCGAAAATGACTTCCCACAAAAACGACAAACAAAACGAGCTGGGCGGTTACTGGTCTGGTCCACTTCCCCTCTTTCTCCTGCTCCGTCGTTCATATGATCATTGTTAACAGCAAGATGTACAGACGTAGAATCACGTGTGTACTTTACGTTCCGAGTTTCATAAACAGATAACGGACTTGTCGATGCAGATGCCTCCTTTGAATTATCATTGCTTATGGAAGATAGGAAAGTCACGCGTTCTTTTGGCACTGTGGGATGTTTTGTTGTGTTATGAACGTTCAGTTCTTTATCATTACTAAAGCTGATGTTACAGATTCCGCATTGATGAACGGAATCTTTGCTATGGTGTATACTCCTCATATGAGACGTCAGGTTTTCCGGGATAGTAAACCATTTCCCACACAACTGACATGAACAACGCTCACCTCTGTGCATGGATTTCTCATGTCGGTAGAGCGATCTGACAGAGAGAAACCGCTTGGGACACCTCCCACACTGGTGGAACTGAAATGTCGCGTGGTTCCATTTCATTTGATGTTCACGTAATTTTCTTTCAGTGGGATAGTCAGCACCGCATGTTTTACAGACGAATTGATTTGGTGCGTTCTTAAAATGACTTTTCTTGTGAAGTAAGAGGTTCTTTGCGGTGTAAAACTTGAGATGACAGAAGGTGCAGGAGTGTGATAGCTTCAACAAGTGTGTCTTCACATGTGATTTAAGGAGAGAGAAGTCATTGAATTTACGGTCACATAAATTACATGTGAAACTATTTTTCACATGATACTCCCAGTGTCTCGCCAAAGTACTGAGTACGTTGAAGGTTTTGTGACACAAATCGCACTCCACATACATGAATCTGTTATGACTTTTTTTGTGTTCTTCAAAGGACTCGTTTTCATAATGTCTTTTGCATATTTTACAAAACTCAAATGTCATATTGTGCATCGTTTCTTTGTGTATTCGCAATCGGTCTTTCCTACTGAAACCCACGTTGCAAACCTCACATTGGTAAGGATCAACACCTGAATGCATGGTTAAATGAGTGTGAAACTCAGTGCTTCTCCGAAAAGTCCGCAGACACAAGCTGCATTTAAATGGCTTAGGACCCGTATGTAACCGACTGAAGTGGTTGTATGGTTCACTGCATATGGAACATCTCGGAGGTTCTTTGTCATCGTGTGTTCCCAAATGTGTTAACAGTCCATTTGCATCCTCACATTGGGTTCCACATACAAAGCATAACAGGAGGTCACTGGGCGAGAGAAAACCTGCGTGAGTCTGTAGATGGGTCACAAAATCGAACGTACGTTCGAAATATTGGTGGCACACATGACATCTGTATAGACTTGTATCTGAAACAGATAAGGAAAATCAGTAATGCTACCAACGAACAAAGAAAGATACTGGTATATTGACAAAATCAAATACAATTTTGATGAATATATGGCAAGATAGGAAAACAATTACAGAGACTCTTGCAAAGTACGTGGAGTGTCAGAAGAGTAAATGTCTTCTGTTTCATCGACGAAACCCGTCATATAAATATTTGTCAATCCAAGAAGGTAACAAAGGTGAACAAGGTAAACAACAACGTAACCATCAGGCAAACCAACGAAAATAGAACACTCCATTCATTCGAGATGTTAACTGATATAGCGTTGGCCATTTTTTACCCTCAACTCATTCCGTTAAATTGACAAACCTTGTGTTAAGGAATATCGGAATATTTCACTCGGGCTGGTTGTAATCATCCAACCAACCACTCCTCTTCCAACCATCATCAACACCACCATACCAAACCCCTCACCCTCACCAAGGGGCCGAAAATGCTATTAGTTAATATAATTACTTAATGCTACAGTGGGTCTTTTCATTTTACTATTATTATGGATGTTTAAGATTGTATCATATTCTGGATGTTTACAATTGTGACTTATTCCAGATGCTTAAAATTGTGACTTATTTCAGGTGCTTATAATTGTTACTTATTCGGGATGTGTAGAATATTGACTTCTTCTGGAAGTTTAAAATTGAGACTTATTCTTGGTGTTTATAATTGTGACTTATCCTGGATAGCCAAAATTGTGAGTTATTTTAGATGTTTTAAAATTGTCATTTTGTCTGGATGTTGAAATTTGTGGCTTTTATTTGGAGTGATTTCGTTAAATCGTGGTTTGGTTGTGTACATGCTATATTGGAATACCATGTACAACCCCTAAAGCAGGGTTTCCGTTTGAAGCGAAAAGCCCTAAAACTTTCGTCTTCCATAAGGTTAAACTCGGGAGTTAACCAAGACTTAGTTGTATGAGTACTTGGATTGAATCTAACAACACATATGATTTATGAAATGTATAGATAAATTTGTAGATCAATTGATTTTTTCTGCACAATTTCGATTTTCCGCTATTTTTGTCGACATCGTCAATAATTGTCCTACTTTCGTTTAAACACTGAACTAAACTGTACGTTAAGCACTTAAATTTATATTGAGATTATAACAAGTAATTGAGTAATTAAGTGTACTAGCAAGAATTCTGTTCGATCGCAGAATTGAAAATAAGTCATTCATTACTGTAATTCTGTAAAATTCTTTTTCATAACCAAAGCCCTAGAAATCCTGCCAGGGTCAAAATTCGCTAGAATACAACACGAGTATATAAATAGACATCAAATTCGCTAGAATACAACACGAGTATTAATGACTTTCATGATCACTTATTGTATTATCTACACTTATGACATGATTTTCATCATCACTTACTGTATTATGTATACTAATAATAAAGATTAGACCTGGCTACATTGACAAAATAGCTGTCAACCAAACCAGACAAAAATTGTATGGTAACAGAATGTATTGTAATATACAACCGTGATACATGAAGAGGAAACCTATCTACACTGACAATCTGTGAGATACGGTTATCAACCGAACCAGAGAAAAATGTTTATAAAAACAAACAAAAAATATCTGGACAACCGTGAATACGTTTAAGTCTGTAACACATTCCGTAATACATACTAGTAACTGGTTTGATTTTATATAGCTGATAATATCTGTACATTTTTAGGGTAAGGGTCTGATAGCTGACTTGTATCGGAAGCCATTGTCCCTTTGTCCTAGTTTAGCTCTATTAGTGTCAATACAGGATGACATACAAGTACATTACCTATCGCGAACTTTAACCATATCCAAGATCATTGTCTAGGTGAAACATTACCATGTAAGGCGGGATATGTTTAATGATACCATGGGGAAAGGGGTAGGGGGAGCACTACAAACAATACTTGACCAGAATTCTATTTAAGAAATAGGCGATAGTTTCGATTGGAACATGATGTTTACAAGGAAAATGATGAGAGGGGTTCGGGTAGACAGAGAAGGGTCTGGAAATGGGAATGATAAGAGGGGTTCGGGTAGATAGAGAGGGGTTAAAAATAGGAATGATAAGAGGGGTTCGGGTAGATAGAGAGGGGTTGAAAATAGGAATGATAGGAGGGGTTCGGGTAGAGAGAGAAACAGGGTTAAAAATAGGAATGATAAGAGGGGTTCGGGTAGAGAGAGAAACGGGGTTAAAAATAGGAATGATAAGACTGGTTCTGGTAGATACGGAGGGGTTGAAAATAGGAATGATAAGAGGGGTTCGGTTAGATAGGGAGGGGTTGAAAATAGGAATGATAAGAGGGGTTCAGGTAGATAGGGAGGGGTTGAAAATAGGAATGATTAGAGGGGTTCAGGTAGATAGAGAGGGGTTAAAAATAGGAATGATAAGAGGGGTTCGGGTAGAGAGAGAAACGGGGTTGAAAATAGGAATGATTAGAGGGGTTCAGGTAGATAGAGAGGGGTTAAAAATAGGAATGATAAGAGGGGTTCTGGTAGATAGGGAGGGGTTGAAAATAGGAATGATAAGAGGGGTTCGGGTAGATAGAGAGGGGTTAAAAATAGGAATGATAAGAGGGGTTCAGGTAGATAGGGAGGGGTTGAAAATAGGAATGATTAGAGGGGTTCAGGTAGATAGAGAGGGGTTAAAAATAGGAATGATAAGAGGGGTTCGGGTAGATAGAGAGGGGTTAAAAATAGGAATGATAAGAGGGGTTCGGGTAGATAGAGAGGGGTTAAAAATAGGAATGATAAGAGGGGTTCAGGTAGATAGGGAGGGGTTGAAAATAGGAATGATAAGAGGGGTTCGGGTAGATAGAGAGGGGTTAAAAATAGGAATGATAAGAGGGGTTCAGGTAGATAGAGAGGGGTTAAATATAGGAATGATAAGAGGGGTTCAGGTAGATAGGGAGGGGTTGAAAATAGGAATGATAAGAGGGGTTCAGGTAGATAGGGAGGGGTTGAAAATAGGAATGATAAGAGGGGTTCAGGTAGATAGGGAGGGGTTAAAAATAGGAATGATAAGAGGGGTTCGGCTAGAGAGAGAAACAGGGTTAAAAATGGGAATGATAAGAGGGGTACGAGTACAGAGAGAGGGAGGTTAAAAAGGGGGAAAATGAAAGTGGTTCTTGGAGAGAGAATGGGGTTCGAAATGGGAAAGATGAGAGTGGTTGTTGGAGAGAAGGTCCTTAATAAAGGAAATGATGAGAGGGGACGAGGTAGAGAGAGTTGAAAGCTCAAGAAGGGGAATGGTAAAAAGTTCTCGGGTAGAGAGGAGATGGGAAGAAGGAGTGGGGGGGTTAGAGGGGAAGAAGGAGTTGGGGGGTTAGAGGGAAAGAAGGAGTGGGGGGGGTTAGAGGGGAAGAAGGAGTGGGGGGTTAGAGGGGAAGAAGAAGTGGGGGGTTAGAGGGGAAGAAGGAGTTGGGGGGTTAGAGGGAAAGAAGGAGTGGGGGGGGGTTAGACGGGAAGAAGGAGTGGGGGGGGGGTTAGAGGGGAAGAAGGAGTTGGAGGGGTTAGAGGGGAAGAAGGAGTGGGGGGGTTAGAGGGGAAGGAGTGGGGGGAAGAGGGGAAGAAGGGGTGGGGGGGTTAGAGGTGAAGAAGGAGTGGGAGGAGGGGAAGAAGGAGTGGGGGAGGGAAGGAGTGGGGGAGAGGTGAAGAAGGAGTGGGGGAGAGGGGAAGAATGAGTGGGGGGGGGGAGAGGTGAAGAAGGAGTGGGGGGTTAGAGGGGAAGAAGGAGTGGGGGTTAGAGGTGAACAAGGGTAACAATTAGAGGGATCCGGGATAGAGACTTCACATAAGTGGTGTTAAGAAGGAAATAATGAGATAATGAGAGGGATTTGAAACTTAGGGTTGGTAAAAATGAAATATTACTTTCGTAGGTAACAAACGAGAGATAAGTTAGAGAGGTTGTTATGGAAACAGTTGTAGCGGAGGTTGGAAAGTCTTGAAGCAGTGGGAAGAGAAAATATCGGTGGTCAATTGATAATATATCCACCATGAGATAATGAAACATATCGAGAAAATCAAGAAATTCCTGCATAAAGGTAATGTTATCAGCATCAATCAAATGAAACTGGGGATAGGGGTGGCTTAGAGATCACAGTGTTCAATAAATACGACACTACACACGTACGCATGCTCACATCCTCAAACACACTTGTTTTGTTCACGGTTGTTACTGAGGTGAAATTCTATTATATAGTGATTCGGGGATTTAAAACGGTTACATTGTTGAATACCAGAATCTACTTTTGTACTACATCTACTACCTGGTCCTTCTGACATTAAAACGACTCAGTAATTCTGTAAACAAGGTCATCGGGCCATGTTGTTTTCTATCACGAGGACGAACACAGTACAACATTTACTGATTTTAGTATTGTGTGACACCATTATCACGGATTTATAAGTATATGGGTGACACCATTATCACGGATTTATAATTATATGGGTGACACCATTATCACGGATTTATAATTATATGGGTGACACCATTATCACGCATTTATAAGTATATGTGTGACACCATTATCACGGATTTATAAGTATATGGGTGACACAATCATCACGGATTTATAAGTATATGGGTGACACCATTATCACGGATTTATAAGTATATGGGTGACACCATTATCATGGATTTATAAGTATATGGGTGACACAATTATCACGGATTTATAAGTATATGGGTGACACCATTATCACGGATTTATAATTATATGGGTGACACCATTATCACGGATTTATAATTATATGGGTGACACCATTATCACGCATTTATAAGTACATGTGTGACACCATTATCACGGATTTATAAGTATATGGGTGACACCATTATCACGGATTTATAAGTATATGGCTGACACAATTATCACGGATTTATAAGTATATGGGTGACACCATTATCATGGATTTATAAGTATATGGGTGACACAATTATCACGGATTTATAAGTATATGGGTGACACCATTATCACGGATTTATAAGTATATGGGTGACACCATTATCATGGATTTATAAGTATATGGGTGACACAATTATCACGGATTTATAAGTATATGGGTGACACCATTATCACGGATTTATAAGTATATGGGTGACACCATTATCACGGATTTATAAGTATATGGTAAAACAATTATCAGGGATGTATAAGTATATGGGTGACACCATTATCACGGATTTATAAGTATATGGGTGACACCATTATCAGGGATTTATAAGTACATGGGTGACACAATTATCACGGATTTATAAGTATATGGGTGACACAATTATGACGGATTTATAAGTATATGGGTGACACCATTATCACGGATTTATAAGTATATGGTAAAACAATTATCAGGGATGTATAAGTATATGGGTGACACCATTATCACGGATTTATAAGTATATGGGTGACACAATTATCAGGGATTTATAAGTATATGGGTGACACCATTATCAGGGATGTATAAGAGTATGGGTGACACAATTATCAGGGATTTATAAGTACATGGGTGACACAATTATCTTGGATATATAAATATATGGTGATACAATTATCAGGGATTTTAATACCGATTTAAGGATGTAAATATTCTGTGTAGATATGATATTGACCCGTTCTATTGTTTATCGTGTTATAAAACGTGTTCTATCCGAGATTTTTCTGATTTCTTTCATGAGGTTTGAGTTGAGATTGAAATTCAGAAAACAATACAAAATATACAATATAGAGCAAATGAGTTGTAAAATATGTCGGCATTCGATACCTGTGAAAATATTCGGATGTCGTTTTTATTTATATGCTGTTTTTATCGCATTTATTTATTCACTCATTTACTGATGTACTTATTCTAAAAAACAAATTGATAGATTTACTTACTTCCATTTTGAAGCCTGCTGTTTCCAGCATAGACGACATCAACAGAATTCTCTCTCGGTTTCTCGTTAGATAAGTTATCCATGTCTTCAATTGTCTTGCCGGATTGTTTAGGATCATTTAGCGTCACATCGTCTCCTTCCGGCGACCCATTCATGACGTCACTATGATGTCCAGCGAGACTCCAATACAGTTATTCGATTTTAAACCATGACGTCATGACGCATGCTCATTATTTGGTGTATCGTTAAGTTCCGTCCAGGTAATGCTTGAAGTTCCGGAAGTTGACACAGATATGAAGATGTTTTGTGACTCTCCTAGAACAACAAAGTGAATTCACACTCTATATCATCATAATCATAATTCTAACTAAACTTCAATAAAACCGTCATGGCAAAGGATACATTTAAGTAAGATTCACATGGAAACTTCCGAAAAATGCAAGAGCAAGTGTTCCGGAAGAGTAAGCGTTTTCTGCTTCATCGGCAACACCCGTAATGTAAATCTTGATCAAAGTAAGTAATAACAAACACAAGTCTATAATACATAAACTTATCTTTTTGGATTTCTTCAAACAGAATTTGTCTTGACAGATCAATTCAAGGCACCCGAAAAATACCTTAAACCACAGCGTGTTGAACAAACCCGCTGGTATCAAATCTGTAGCCAACCAACATTTTATTCTAGACTATTTGGCTAAACACAAAGGTATTTTATTCGTTTAATTAGAGTATGCGCGTGCACTCTATAACTGTGAACTATTAAGTTAATATGTAAGATCAAATATTCAAAATTGTGCAAGACATAAGCGAGATGTTTCATCATAATGTATCTGCCCGTGTTAATTTAGTACTGACATCTACTGTGAACAATTATGTATTGCCCAGTGGCCAGAGACATTCTGTCGTTACTGATCTACTACACATGTTCATGTATTAATTCATTCCCTTATTATATAATTACCTGAAGCCGATCTTAGCAGTTTGAATGGTGGTCAGTGTAACTTTATCTTGTTGTAGACAGCCGAATCTATTGCCATTTATGTGTGCAATACTATGTCAATAACTATGTATACTTCAATCCATGCTTACCTGTTAGCTAATGTGTATTAGTACTTCATCAGTTAATTAACATGGCTAGTATAAAGTATCGGCTCCTGACGGCCAGACAGGAGAGAGGCTAGTCTCCACTGGCGGAACCCCCCGCTCACTCGGGCTTTTTCCCCGAGCAAGAACATCTCAACCCTATACCCAACTTATGAAATTGTAACACGTTTTTCGTCATATTTAGTACCGTAACAAGTTTTTCATTTCAACTGATTGGGTTAAGATAGAGTGTTCAGATGTTATAAGGAGAGCCCTGGTCAACAAACGGTATTTCAAAATACGAAAACACTCGAAGATCGTTAAACAGAGGCGTGTCTCTACATTTTAAGGACTCCGCGTTTTTTTTAAGAACCTAAACATGACCCTGTGTTCTGTAGAGCTATGTTATCGTGCCTCGACCGTTGATGTACACCACATAATGGTGACTGTGACCTTGACATCTCATACACGAGTACATATGACCGACATGTACAGCTTGTTTTTATAAATACATGTACCTGTAACGACCAGAAAGTTCTGGTACTTCGCGTGACGACCCTAAATTACGTCATGAAATGAGTGACATACTAAAATCCAAGCATGTTTTCCGAGTATTGAAAAATGATTGATACTTATTAGGCAGTGAATGATATTAAAGCTACCGGAATATATTGTAGACACACTTACCTGTAATTACATTTAACAAATTCTATAACCCGGTGCCGTTACCTTCCCATTCTGCCCTACCCCTGCCTTCAAGTTTCCCCTGTCCATATTAGACCTATTTAATATACCCATCCTTTTATCGATTTTTTAATTACATAAACTTATACATTACATCCATTTTCAACTCCTTATATTCGCCGTCACACTATTTTCCAGTTTAATAAACATTTGTAAATTAACTTGTTTATTGTGTGTTAGATTCATATACCGTTAGGTTTCTTTCAACTTCCACGTGGTCTGAATTTTTCGTCGTCTCTGTAACTATTGTACCGTCCATACTTCCGCTATTGTTTCCCGTTTCTTGTCAATTGCTACATTTCATTTGTATTACTACACGATCGTATATTTCATTCACAATACTTACATACGTCCATGTCATTCACTCCTGCAATATTTACCTCTCCTTGAACTATAATTTTACTCCACCGGTGTACCTGTCCTATGTTGGTCACCTGTCGTATCTGTGTGTAATTTATCCCCAACTACACGTGGCACACTTACATGAAACAATCTGGTTATCCTCCATGTTTACAGAGACCTTTAGTAATAAGTTTTAGATCCTGTCATGGCCACTGTCCCGTCTTGTTGTGTATATAATGTACGTCTCCAGTCATTCTCATACATGACTACGTTTGTACTTGTGAATACGCGGGGGTGCACTGTGGCAGTTACGTCAAACACAACCCTGGATATCTGCTTGCAGTGTATTAACCGAGCGACACAAATTTGTGTGCTGTATTAGTTTTAAGGTCAGCCCCTTGTCTATGCCTTTATGTGGGAAATTTACCGAGCATGTGGTGTCCATGTATTAAGATTGCCCGTTATCAGTGAAATATATTTAACAAAACATTCACAATAACCAGTGGTTATTATTTAACTATTTAAAACCCATTGCAACGGAGTTACAATAAGGAATCTCCGAATTGCATATATAATTGCATGTTATATATACCCATGGTTCCTGCCGATTGACTATATCATAGGTTTTTTGATGACACACCATGCCCTAGGTCATGCATATAGAAATACAGGCCTAGTGTGATACGTTTTTTTTTCGTTTCAAATGTGCACGGGTGGTATAACAATGATGACGTCATCCATTCATGTGTAACCCTTTCATTTGATTTCTGTTGGAAGACCGCGGTGATAATTGAAATACTAAAATCTAATTTTTTTCTAACTTTTCGCAGTGATTAAGATCTAAATTAAACATTTAAAATGAGTTTTAAATTAATGGTGTAACTGTGTAACTAGACTGACTTTTTACACAAATTGTATCGCGGATCTAAAACATTAATTCAACATAAGAAAAATTGGTTGACTTGAAGCATGCTAATCAATATTTATATCACAACTAAACTAACGCTTTGTGTGAGAATTCCATGGCCGGCTTTGTAGATATCGTGTAACACGCGGTTAATAACACTATTGTGACGTCATGAATAAATGACGTCACACGATTGCCACTGTGGCGAATTCTACACCGTCTGAAAGGAAATGTGTCATATTAGGATATAATATGGTGATTTTCGATATAAGTCGGGATAGATCATTTTTTGAAATAGAGTATATACGTCTTAAAATATACGCTTTATGCACGTCCTAAAATCCATCTGCTTTCCATCGCTGTCGAATACAGCAAACTACATGTAGCGAGTGTATCGCGACCATAGCAGCGCCGGTTGTAGGGTAAATATGATTTCATAGTTTTTAACATGACATCTTGAGGTCCCCACGAACTTGCTAGCACTAGGGCTATGGAACAGTTGTAAGATACAATTCATTAATTGTCTTACTACTGTCTCTCATTATAAACTTCCATTAAGAAGTGCTGTTCACTTATTTGTCTTTCTGACGTGAGTTATCGACGGTTTGTAAACACAACTTGATGGATACTACTTTAGAACATGACCGAATTTACCGAGACTTGATCACTTGTATAAAAACGTTTACGTGTACATATATTCAGCCCCTTTGCAGGCGTCGGGATAAGGAGTGAACACTCTAATCGTCTATATATAGATATTATTTGTGGTAATATATGATGACTCAGGTGTTTTTAGAGAGTCATTTATTTGTTGGTTGGATATGTCGAATTATTTGATTAGTTGACGTGTTAACTTCTTTGTTCACCAATATTATCATTGTTCGCAGGCACGATAGACCGGACATTTTCGTCCGTTTTACGTTGTCAGTTTATGGCCGGTTATGTGGAGCGGAGAGCTGCACAGCATTAGTCAAGGGGTCACTGAGCAGATTATGACCAACTTTCCACGGCTAGATGTTATCGCTTCACCGAGGAGTCGTTTTCATCAAATACACCAACGGAAAGTATATTAACCGGACCACAGAATGTCTCTTGGATAATCAGATCATGTGGCTTCGCGGACCAGTTCCCGTCAATACAATAACAAGTCACAGTAAGACTGCACTGTACTGTAACAAAGTCACGGTATGACTGTCCTGTACAGAAACAATGTCAGTGTGACTGTCCTGTACAGTAACAATGTCAGTATGACTGTCCTGTACAGTGTGACTGTCCTGTACAGTAACAATGTCAGTGTGACTGTCCCGTACAGTAACAATCTCAGTGTGACTGTCCCGTACAGAAACAATGTCAGTGTGACTGTCCTGTACAGTAACAATCTCAGTGTGACTTTCCTGTACAGTGTGACTGTCCTGTACAGTAACAATGTCGGTGTGACTGTCCTGTACAGTAACAATGTCAGTGTGACTGTCCCCGACAGTAACAATGTCAGTATGACTGCCCTGTACAGTAACAATGTCAGTGTGACTGTCTTGTACAGTGACAATGTCTGTGTGACTGTCCTGTACAGAAACAATGTCATTGTGACTGTCCTGTACAGTAACAATCTCAGTGTGACTGTCCTGTACAGTGTGACTGTCCTGTACAGTAACAATGTCATTGTGACTGTCCCCGACAGTAACAATGTCAGTATGACTGTCCTGTACAGTAACAATGTCAGTGTGACTGTCTTGTACAGTAACAATCTCAGTGTGACTGTCCCGTACAGTAACAATGTCAGTGTGACTGTCCCGTACAGTAACAATCTCAGTGTGACTGTCCCGTACAGTAACAATCTCAGTGTGACTGTCCTGTACAGTGTGACTGTCCTGGACAGTAACAATGTCAGTGTGACTGTCTTGTACAGTAACAATGTCAGTGTGACTGTCTTGTACAGTAACAATCTCAGTGTGACTGTCCCGTACAGTAACAATGTCAGTGTGACTGTCCTGGACAGTAACAATGTCAGTGTGACTGTCTTGTACAGTAACAATCTCAGTGTGACTGTCCCGTACAGTAACAATCTCAGTGTGACTGACCTGTACAGTAACAATCTCAGTATGACTGCCCTGTACAGTAACAATCTCAGTGTGACTTTCCTGTACAGTGTGACTGTCCTGTACAGTAACAATGTCGATGTGACTGTCCTGTACAGTAACAATGTCAGTGTGACTGTCCCCGACAGTAACAATGTCAGTATGACTGCCCTGTACAGTAACAATGTCAGTGTGACTGTCTTGTACAGTGACAATGTCTGTGTGACTGTCCTGTACAGAAACAATGTCATTGTGACTGTCCTGTACAGTAACAATCTCAGTGTGACTGTCCTGTACAGTGTGACTGTCCTGTACAGTAACAATGTCATTGTGACTGTCCCCGACAGTAACAATGTCAGTATGACTGTCCTGTACAGTGTGACTGTCCTGTACAGTAACAATGTCAGTGTGACTGTCCCGTACAGTAACAATCTCAGTGTGACTGTCCCGTACAGAAACAATGTCAGTGTGACTGTCCTGTACAGTAACAATCTCAGTGTGACTTTCCTGTACAGTGTGACTGTCCTGTACAGTAACAATGTCGGTGTGACTGTCCTGTACAGTAACAATGTCAGTGTGACTGTCCCCGACAGTAACAATGTCAGTATGACTGCCCTGTACAGTAACAATGTCAGTGTGACTGTCTTGTACAGTGACAATGTCTGTGTGACTGTCCTGTACAGAAACAATGTCATTGTGACTGTCCTGTACAGTAACAATCTCAGTGTGACTGTCCTGTACAGTGTGACTGTCCTGTACAGTAACAATGTCATTGTGACTGTCCCCGACAGTAACAATGTCAGTATGACTGTCCTGTACAGTAACAATGTCAGTGTGACTGTCTTGTACAGTAACAATCTCAGTGTGACTGTCCCGTACAGTAACAATGTCAGTGTGACTGTCCCGTACAGTAACAATCTCAGTGTGACTGTCCCGTACAGTAACAATCTCAGTGTGACTGTCCTGTACAGTGTGACTGTCCTGGACAGTAACAATGTCAGTGTGACTTGTCTTGTACAGTAACAATGTCAGTGTGACTGTCTTGTACAGTAACAATCTCAGTATGACTGTCCCGTACAGTAACAATGTCAGTGTGACTGTCCTGGACAGTAACAATGTCAGTGTGACTGTCTTGTACAGTAACAATCTCAGTATGACTGCCCCGTACAGTAACAATCTCAGTATGACTGCCCTGTACAGTAACAATCTCAGTTTGACTGTCCCGTACAGTAACAATCTCAGTTTGACTGCCCCGTACAGTAACAATCTCAGTGTGACTGCCCCGTACAGTAAAAATCTCAGTATGACTGTCCCGTACAGTTACAATGTCAGTGTGACTGTCCCGTACAGTAACAATCTCAGTGTGACTGTCTTGTACAGTTACAGTCTTAGTTTGATTGCCTAGAACAGTATATCTAGGCTGTTGTAGACCCATATACCTATGTATTTAACCAGTGATAAAGAAATGTATTTATCTTTGTCAGGCTACACTGATATCTTATATGATAAATGTTTACGACGTTATATGTCTAATTGGTGATCTGATAGACATGTAACGATCTTGTTGACTTGTAGTATTTATGTTATGGTTACCATATGGTAAGGTGAACTAATCTACAGGGTAAGGTGAACTAGTCCACAGGGTAATCTGAACTAGTCTACAGGGTAAGGTGAACTAGTCTACAGGGTAATCTGAACTCGTCTACAGGGTAATCTGAACTAGTCTACAGGGTAAGGTGAACTAGTCTACAGGGTAAGGTGAACTAGTACACAGGGTAAGGTGAACTAGTCTACAGGGTGAGGTGAACTAGTCTACAGGGTAAGGTGAACTAGTCCACAGGGTAAGGTGAACTAATCTACAGGGTAAGGTGAACTAGTCCACAGGGTGAGGTGAACTAGTCTACAGGGTAAGGTGAACTAGTCTACAGGGTAATCTGAACTCGTCTACAGGGTAAGGTGAACTAGTACACAGGGTAAGGTGAACTAGTCCACAGGGTAAGGTGAACTAGTCCACAGGGTAAGGTGAACTAGTCTACAGGGTAAGGTGAACTAGTCCACAGGGTAAGGTGAACTAGTCTACAGGGTAAGGTGAACTAGTCCACAGGGTAAGGTGAACTAATCCACAGGGTAAGGTGAACTAGTACACAGGGTAAGGTGAACTAGTCTACATGGTAAGGTGAACTAGTCTACAGGGTAAGGTGAACTAATCTACAGGGTAAGGTGAACTAGTACACAGGGTAAGGTGAACCAGTCTACATGGTAAGGTGAACCAGTCTACAGGGTAAGGTGAACTAATCTACAGGGTAAGGTGAACTAGTCTACAGGGTGAGGTGAACTAGTCCACAGGGTGAGGTGAACTAGTCTACAGGGTAAGGTGAACCAGTCTACATGGTAAGGTGAACTAGTCTACAGGGTAAGGTGAACCAGTCTACATGGTAAGGTGAACTAGTCTACAGGGTAAGGTTTACTAATCTACAGGGTAAGGTGAACAAGTACACAGGGTAAGGTGAACTAGTCTACAGTGTGGGGTGAACTAGTCTAGGGTATGACTATGAAAAATAAAATAAGTGTGGTTACTTTTTCAATTACTTTTTTTATTTTTTTTTTAATAAATGATAATATTCATGTACATTGTTATATATACATGTAATTCAAGAATTTTGTCTTTATTAAAAACGATATAATCTTGATGAAATATTAAGTGGATAAATTGTTAAGCTAATAACAGATTAATTTTGAACAAGCTCAGTGTGATATTCTCCGAGAGGCCACATGTAGGCAAAAGATTATGTACCTTGAGGTTACAGATCAAGAAAATGTTTGTAATCAATATTCAATTATCACTATTGATTTACAGAAGAATCTCCTTCATACTGGATCTTCATCTGCTGACTAAACATAAAGTCCTGTGAGTTTTTAATAATAACTGACTCTGTGTAAAATCTCTGAACATGTTTCCTCATCTACCGTAACTTCACAGATTTAAGAGCTGAGAGCAGATATCTGAGTCAAACTTCATGACATTCCATCACACCAGAAATATTCTCTTTTCCCCTGCAGGCATATTCCTGGTTAGTGTAGTGTCATATTTTCTGCTGTAAGGGTAACACCTTTCATATCCTTGCTGATCCAGTAAATCAAATCCAATGCTTTCACTCTTTTCCTCTCTATAGTAATACTTGTATAAACAAAGTTTTTACTGTGGTCAGTTAGTGAGTTCTACTAATGCTGACACTAGATCACCCTTGAATTCTCGGAGTTTCCTCTCGGCCTGAGCTGCAGATATCTCCATTTCATTAACCTGTAAAAAAAGTGTGATCATGTATTATACATGTCAGTTTATTATCAGTTCAATAATTATCAAAGTCTATTTTAAGTAATGATGCAAAATAGTGAAAGTTTTTTTACCTATTCCAAATATGGTAAACATGAGGCCTTCATGATCATCTGGCCACACAAACTATCAACAGGGAGAAGGTTTATTTTTTCTTCTTTGAATGAAATCTTACTAAGAAGCTGTTTTCCATGATGCAGGTAGTGGTTAGGGTGAGCAGTAGCTAACTTTAAGAAGTGTTACCTATTTCTTGACAGTAAAGTTTACAGACAGCATTCAGCCCTAAATCTGAGACAATTTCCTTTCTGAAGACACAGTCCTTGTGTCAAGAGCCATGAATCCTGTCTCCTATATATAAGAAATGTGTCCTCCCACAATGTTTCAGGAGGAGTAGCATTTTGGGCCCAGGCCTTCTGTCTGTCTCAATTAATTCAGAAATAATTGTGTTTTTTACATGATACTCATGTTACAAAATGACCTCACTGGCTCCCGTGTAAAAGTTTGGACAAGGCCGACAATAGGATCACTTTGCTAGCTACCTTTCCTTAACATTCTGACCAATATTTAGCTCAAAGACACCTGTGGAATTGGAGAAGAACTTTAAAATATGTTTTTCAAGATGTCTGTCATACTGGATTTCAGACAGACCCAAAAAATAACAACGCTTGGCCGGGACCATCTCAGGAGATATCATGGATGTGACAGTCTTCCATGACCACCAGCAATTTTTAGGAAAAGTTGACAAGTGACAGATATGGCCCCATGGCATATGATGACTGATCCTTTAGAACAGGTGAAAAATTACAAAACTCATTGGACCCTTAACAATGCATTGTTTCAGTAAAATTACAAAAGTGGAAGTACAAGGTACAAATTAGACTATTACGTATGTGTAGCTATATACCACACATATACCTGTATTTATAGTTTGTTTAGTAGATATAAACTTGTAATTTGCGAAAACAATGAACTAATTTTTAAAAATGTTGGTTGAATTAGAATAAAACCTTGTCAGCAATATTATTTTCTATATAAACGACCATGGATGAAGGGCGATTTGATAATGATGGGCTAAAAATTCAAAGTTAGGCAACAAGTATGGAACTCAAGTACGATGGCAGAGTACATATAAGATTAATATTTCTTGTGATGAACTTTAATTTGGTAGTGAGTTGTCAACATCTTGGATTTCAGAGCAACCCAAAAAATAACAACACTTGGTCAGGACTATTTGAGCATCATTCCATGCAAGTTCGAGTCCAATCCCACTGGTGGAACTTTAGAAGGAGTTTCGAATGTCGAAAGTTGAGGCAGGGCGGACAGCGACGAATGAAGCACAATGGCAATAGGACATTATAATTCTTCAGGTCAGTGATTCCAGAAGGATCTAGGTGCCCACCATCGTTTGATTTTTTCTGGTCTTTTAAAATGAGATCTTTCCACTTCTCTCCATTATTGTTTACTATATATTATCTCAATTTTGATAATTCCTTTTCTAAAATAGCGAGAAAAATTTTAAATTGTTCAATCTAAGATGGTTCCCAGTTGGACAATGTTTTATATCAGTCTCAATGGGCATAACAAGATGTCAAGGGAAACCTACAATTGAAATATAAGAAGGATCTATATACAGTACTTCCCAAGAAATAGCAATTACAAACTACAGCTGTTATAATCCAAGATGGCCACTTTTTCTTCTCAAATCAGTCCCAAAATGACACAATGCACAACTAGTAAATAAAGGAAACCTTCACAAGAAATTCTGAAAATAATCCATACAGGACTTCTGAAGAAATGATAAACAAAAAATTTTAGAGACAGAGGGACAAACACTGATACACATATTAAGAGTAATTTGAACAGCCTACCATCTGATGCTGGTGGGCTAAAAATATCAAATCAATTGGTTTATACTAAGTGTTAAATATTTTGAATCTGTCTTTTCTATGATCATTTTTTTGAGAAAAGGCAATCCTTTCGTAGTCATGTATACCTGGTATTGTGATTCTGAGAAAATAGTGGTAACAGAATATGGCTTGTGAGACGGACTGATGTACAGATGGTGTAACATGTATTGTGAAATGTAGTGTAGGGCTGAAATTTAAAGTGTCTATTACTGAATGACTTTCCTTGAATGATATTCAATCTCTCTATCATGGTTTTCAGCCTAAATACATACATTGTATATGTACATGTACACTGTTTCCCCAAACTTAAAAAGAGTGTTACATATATGTTTCAGAAATAAAACGTCAGGTTTACATCTGCAGTATTATTACCTCCATGGAGAGATGTTTTCAGGTTGTATTTACCTGGTCAGAAACACATTCCTGTTAATATACCCACCCATATACATATATAGATATTGCAGTTCAGAAAAATACATCAATGCTGTTTCATTTCCCTATTGTACAACCCCTACCATCACTTAGAGCCACAAGTCCTATCCCTCCTCCATTTTTTGCTTGAGATAAAAATGACAACACATGACTATAATCAATCAGCAATTTTTTGAGAGAATTTTTCAAAGAAATCAAGATCATCATTGTAAGAAATTTTGATGATTCCAATTACTAAGAGATATAATGGGTTGGGATTCTGATGATTTGAGTCACAGTGGAAAAGTATGGGTTCATTACTCAAATATCAGCGTTTGAAAAATCCCAGTCTAGCAGCTGACAATCCCTTTGTACTTACTATAATGTCTACATCCTCCTTGTTTATTTTCACCTTTGCTAGCTCTCTTTCTCGTTCTTGTCTTTCTGCACGTTCCTTTGCTTTTCTGTCACTCACAGCCTTCATTGCCTGAAGAAACAAAACAAATCAGAAAATACATGACAATATTACCAAACTTGTGCAATGGTTTTTATGTATTCAGTTGTGTATACAGGAATTTATAGATCAAACCAGAAAAGAGTTATTGCCTCTACAAATCTGCCCTGTCTGTTAGAAGTACACACATGAAGATGGAAATGTCAAGGGTGACACCTGTATTTATGTCATCATATCTGTTTATTTTAATCCAGAGTAATTATTATTAATATTAATGTGATTGTCAATGGTTGTGAGAGTTCATTCACAGTAGCAAGAGAATATGAAATCTATATATAACAGAGGTCATTATTAGTTTTAATCCTTCAGCTGGGATTTGAACCCAGGACCTCCGACTTATTAGTCTGATGCTCAAACGACTGACCTCTAGCCGTGCGGTATATTATGGTTTGTGTTTTGCCAAGGTTACATATATAATGACTGATTCTCACCTTAGCATATAGGCACTATATACACATTATGTATGCTGATTTTCTTAAGTGTTTAATAACAGGCCACCATCTCTTTTCAGGTTGCATTCATAGGCAACATGAATGCCAACAAGATAAAGGCATATTCCATGATGCACATCATGCTTAATTTACCTTTATCCATATATGGCATTTCTATCTTACAGTAGCATAACTTTCATTACTTGCATTATTTTTTGTTGGCAATCAATGGGCTGGTTTGGTAGGCTTTGGTAGGTTATGTTGTATTAATATCCAATAACAGTAATCATAAATATAATGCATTAGTTCAGTATTATTACCGCAGTCACTGTACCATATATATAAGTTATTAATTATTCAATCATTTCAAATAGATGTACCAGTGTCATTTTTTATTAAAAATTTTCTGGGGAGTCCAGAGTGCCATTTCAAAAATTTTAGGAGTCATCTTGCAAAAATAGTGGGTTCAAAAATTTGTTACCCAGTCTCTATAAAACAGTAAGTTGCTTACAAGCATTTCTGCTGAGGTGTTAGATAAGTATGTCAAATTTATGATGATAATCCATATTAACACCCAATAATTTCACACTGTCTTCATATGTTATCTCAAAGCCTTCAATATAACACGATCTAATAAATACTGCTGGTTCAATAGAATAGAACAAAGAAGAAAAATATGTATAAAGGTAAAACAGGAATGTTTACTACCGGACCACAATCATGTGCAATCAGCAACAAGGAAGTTAATCCTATTGAATTAATCCTACCGATTGCCAACCCCAGGAGATGGTAGGTTTCGGGTTTCCCAATGCTTGGCATACCAAAACCAATTAGAAATATGGATTAGCATTCATACTATTTAAACAAAAACAGTTCATATTCCTTCACTGTATATGCCTAAAAACAAAATATAAGAGATATCCCTACCAGTCAACAACTTTTTTGGCATGTTAAAAAGAGGAACACACATATATACTGTATTACCATATTCTTAGGTCTATGATCCTTTACTGAATATGGTAATAAAACTACAAAATTGTCTTGTAGACGTGAATGTCTCCCCTCCCCCCTTCAATTTATAAGTATCTTTGTTTGTTTGATAAAATTGCGGTAGTTTTCAAATGTGACATTTGGCCCCATCATCACTGACCAGTGATCATCTTGTATACAATAATGTGTTGATGATACAATTGGATTATCATAAACCTAATTTGTTGAGATGTCCTAACAAGTTTACATTGATTCTGAATGGGGATGCTAAGGGGCTTGGCACCATGGGATGAATGCTATATATGTGCATCCTCCTCCCACCCGAACAAAGACAGGGTCATGAATATAGTCACAGTCCTGTATCACTGTAAGGATGTCAATCATTTAATCATGTAACCTCATCTGATGTGATGATCGATGGCAACTTTTTTTTTATAATCGATCATTGGTGCCTTAAAATTTTTATGTTAATTCATACTATTCATAATAAACATATCAATTACCAATAATATTCATACTTATGCAAATTCAAGGTATTTCTCTTACATGATAATAGTTACAAAAAAATAAAAATATTACTGCAATGGAGAATATATTCAATTTCTATGAATATTTAACACAGTCAGCCAATTATATAATCAATTAACTATAATTGCAAAGCCTACACAAGTATAACCAACAATAAATTATGTTTTTTAATCAAATTCTATCACTATATTAAACTTGGTAGTCTCAGGTATGCAGCCTGTATACATGTCATAGTCAGCTAACTACATAACAGGCACTAACCAATGATATTAACTCCCAACAAATGTCCCATCAGCTGGAATTGGTCATTGATAAAAGTCTATCAAATAGTATGATATGTACTACTATGCGTCTATAAGCCATACTACGTTACTTGAATTGTTAGCTTTCCTTCCTGTATGTGGACGACTTCAGATACATAGTTATTTGTAGTAAAACTTGGCAGAGTAGTATTTATTTTGCATGCACATCGACCTTACTTAAGCTATATACTGAAGACATTATAACATAGGGTTAGTAATACTTACCCCCTATATATTTTGTGTATGCCTACTTGTAACATATTTGTTCCACATAGAACAAGTTATTTAGATATAGCACAGCAGTTATTATACTTCATACCAGATTCATATATTTCTTCTTGTGTCATCCTTCCTAACTTTAGCAGGGATTTATCATATCTCTAGTTTAAGGTGACAATTTCATTGATGTTCTTAACTAATTCTGATCATTTAAGAGTCTATTTTGAGTGATCTTGAATTTTTTCTTTTATCATTATTATATTTCTTACAATGGATTACAGAGCCATAATCTGTGTATCATTGTTAATACATCAATATCCATCAACAGTAATGTTAATCAAACTGTTGAATTATCTTATGTCTCAGGTGATTATTTCACTCAATAGCATTAGTACAAGTTAAGGGACTAAGGTGGAGTTGAAGTGAAATATAACTGGGTGCCATATGTTTGAAAACATTTTATTTTGAATTAAAATATGCATAAACCTTCTTTTCCTGCATGTTGACATGTATACTTTGGTTTTTTTTTAAATTTATACATTTGTTTGCCTTGAAAATAGCTTTACTGAGCTTGTGCTTGTACTATATGATATGCAATACAAAATTAATATTCTTGTAATTTTTATGTAGAATGTAGTACCTTTGTATGTTGTTGCCTGCAGCCCTACTACATAAAATACACAGCATGTTTCCCTCGGATAGTAAAAAACAGACGAGTACATATTAAAAATAAACTCCGTCATAAGTTTACAAGGACTGTTCACTGGGATGTATAATCATCAAATGTACTCTGCTGAATTGTAAACATGTTAAAATGTTTTGATTTTTTCTTCGAAGTATAGCTCAATAGGCGACAAACCTGAGTCTGGATTTAGGACTATGACATCCTGTGTTGTTTGTTTAAACAATCGGTCAATGAATCACCTCAATTAGTTGTGCACCAATGTGTCAGCTGTCTCACCAGAGACGTCAATTTACTTTATCTGCTCAAATTATTCAGATATCTTTTCTGATTTGAATATTTTACTTACATCTCCGATACTTTGGGCGGATATTTCTGTCTCTTCGACATAATCTGTAACCTTCTCCAAATCCGCTGCCCCCGAGTCATGCTTTTTCGTCTTCAATGCCTTGTTTTCCTCTTCGACTTCAACACCTTCCGTCTGGTTATCTTCTGGGCCGGCCATTTTGAAACACGTGTGAAGAGTGATTGTAAGGGGACATAACTCTCAAAACTCTACTGCCTTCTGTAACGCACGCACATGTATCATATTGCCATTAAAACATTTTAGTACTAACCAATATAATATAAATATTGATAATGTCCATGTTTTCCGGGGGAAAATCAATATATGATGTTTTCTCATGTATTTTTTCGACGATATTTCACCCAATATCATATGATATTATGAGTGGATTATAACAATGTGTATCATGTACAGTGGGTGATTTCAGATTTAAACATTTTCATATTTTCGGAATAAAAAATCCAACAACTCCATTTTCAAACAATTTTTTAATGAACATAAAGAATTTAACATATATTTCATAATTCATTCATTTGCAGCGAGTCAATTTGTTCAAAATTGATGAAAATTACATTTTTTGATCTCCATAACAACTAAGACGTCATTACCGTAACGTATGAGAAATTTTGATGTATTCAGAATTCTAGAATATATTTAACGTTTTCTTTTCATAATTCCATATTTCAAACCAAAATAAACAGTATTAAGCTGTGAAAAACCAGCAAACCATGTTAATTAACACATTCTATTTAATTGAGACAGTATGCCAGCAAATATGATAAAAGTTAATCTTTTTCAAACTGATGAACAACATTTAAACTCGTATTAATGTAACTTTGCACTACCCAAAGAAAGATTTGTAAATTTTCATTGCAGTAAATGTTGTTTGTGTATGTTATTATTGCTTCTAACACTTTTTAGTGATCATTTAATGTCATGTTACGGTAATGACACACCGTTACGGGAATGACAGGTCGTTGCGGTAATGACACACCGTTACGGGAATGACAGGTCGTTGCGGTAATGACACACCGTTACGGTAATGAGAGGTCGATGCGGTAATGACACACCGTTACGGTAATGACAGGTCGTTGCGGTAATGACACACCGTTACGGTAATGACAGGTCGTTGCGGTAATGACAGACCGTTACGGTAATGACAGGTCGTTGCGGTAATGACACACCGTTACGGTAATGACAGGTCGATGCGGTAATGACACACCGTTACGGTAATGACAGGTCGTTGCGGTAATGACGTTCAACATTGAAAAAAACGAACTGTAAACGCCTGAATAAACATTTCAATCAAGGTCTTTCTCAATCAAAGCCCAGATTTTGGGATCGATTGCATGGTGTCTCTTGGTTACAATCTGTGAGGTGTTGGCAGCATGGTTATAATGTTTGCTTTCGGATACCATAGGATGTCTTCCAGGAGAGGCCAGAAAAAACGGTTTCTGCCAATTCTATACATAACCTGCACCTCTACCTACTTTTCGTCATCAATGTCATGAATTACGCCAGGGTATGGCTGGCCATGACTTTTAAATGATTTTTCCTACATTTGAAGCGATATATATAAAAATAAGTGTACATTGTGATTTTTCCCGTAGCAAACAAAATTAATACATTTTTATTTGAACCCAATGTTCTGTAGTATTCGATCGGAAATATAAATCAATTGCCACAAAGGCACACAATATTTGTACATATATCAGTGGTAGGTACATTTAATACTGATTGGCACTCTTAAACATACTGTTTATTAAACCTCTTTCCGGTATAAATTTTATTAATGAATTTAACACATTTTATTTTCGACGTCCGAACTCAGGAATTCTTCTTTAAATCATACGAGGTCATTAATTACAATGCAGGACAGTTTACTAATACTCACGGAAACTAATTATTGTAATGGCGTAATGGAACAACTGAGTCAAAATACCAGCAAAACTAGAAATAAAAATACCATTAGTTTGTACAGGATGGTACGAGTGTTGTACCATTATTTAATCATTGATATGTGCTGAAATGTCATCTCCGAAACGATATCGTCATTACCGAAACGTCATCTCGCATTTCGGTAATGACATTTTATCAATCAATCCCCTTTTGGAACCTCGTGTGGAATTTACTTTTGTTCCCACGCTCCTGGTTGTATCAGCTATACTATCAAAACTATTATATAATTCCATACATCGCATTAATCATTATATTGATTGTTCGGTAATGACCGATAAAAACATTATCTAATAATTTTGTACTTACAAACAAGTCCTACTTCACAAACGAACCGATTCCCCACGGACATGTGTGTAGGTTGAAATCTTCTCGCGACAAACTTCTAGCCGAGCAGGAAAACTCCACACTAAGGGTGATAACTCCTACTGTATTTTCAATTTTGATTACTTGTTGCGGTAATGAAGAGAATACTGGTTACATGTGTTAGTACCAGTTTTTTAAAAACTTTTTGGTTGAGCATGAACCAGTTTTGCGTATCTTTAAAATAAATTATATCATATTCATTTTAACTGCCTTTTGAAATTTGATACATCTGTTGAAAAGATGGTGTAATACGGTCATCGGTATATAGAACACGATTTAGTTACAAGCGGTCTACGCCTAGTTAGGGAATCCTTGAAGACTTGTTTTAAATATCTTACTTTATTTTAGACATGTAGCATTTGAACGATTAATTATTTTAAATGTAATATGTATTCAAACGACAAAATTTGAAAGAATTATTTCATTTTCATTTGCTTACAGGCCATTACAATAGTAGTTACAGTGTTGTTTAATTCTGAAATCATCCGTGAACGATTTATTAAGTATATAGTAATTATTTCATTCTGTTTTCAATTGACAAAGTTATTTCTTATTAATATATGTTTTACATTTTATTACAAACATAGAACAAACTTTGTTAATGGGTTGGTTTTATTCCTTACCACTTATATAAATAACGTACATTATATCAATGATTGTATATAAAACCTTTTGTTATACTTTGATTTAAACTCTAAACGTATGAACCTCCTTGCAAATGAGCAGGAGTGACATGGTTTTTATGAGATCTCAGAAAATTGACTATTAATTACATTTTGCAATCATACTAGCACATGTAATATTTTATGTACAGTGGTATGTTCTAGTGCTACGGACACTGAAACCATTCGGGCGTAATCCGGTTAATGCCCTCGGGTAGTAAAACATTACTCTGATGTTGAGGCTTCGGGCACTGAAACCTCACTCTGGTCTGTTGCCTCCGGGTACTGAAACCCCCGGTTTGATCTGGTATCCCGTGTTGTGAAACCGTTCTCTGATACTGAGGCTTCGGGCACTGAAACCTCAGTCTGGTCTGTTGCATCCGGGTACTGAAACCCCCAGTTTGATCTAGTATCCCGGGTAGTGAAACCTAAATCTGATCTAAAGCCCACAAGTAGTAAAAGTTTACTGTGATCTCGTGCCTCCGGTTAATCAAACATTCATTTGATTTAGCTCTCGTGGGTACAGAAACCTGATTTTCATATTTTGACCTCGGGTACAGAAACCTTAATTTGATGTAGTGCCCACAGGTTGTAAAATCTTACTCCGATCTCGTGCCCAAGGTTGATGAATCCTTCGTTTGACTTAGCGCCCTTGGCTAGAGACACCTTAATCTAAGAGTCCACTGGTACTGAAACCTTGTGAATGACCCTGGTTATTGTAGTTGGGAACATGTACCGTTTTATTACACCACTCACTACTGTGTACCGGAGAAAGTAATACCCTCATCTATGTCCTTGATGTAGCCAATAAAAGGCCGTGACTCCCTCGTCTTAGGTTATACCATATGTCACTTCTGATTGGCAGAAATATCGATTTAGTATCATTTTTCAGAGTGAAAACTTTCCAAAGATTGGTGCTAGCGTGACGTCAACCTGGTAAATGTGAGAGAATTGATCAGAGTGTGAGATAGCATAGTTTAAGTGCTATGATTATTCGGTATTCTTTTCTTGACATTTAGAGCAAACAGAGCTCGAGGTATTGTTCATTTCTTTTATACTTTAGCAGGACAAAAAGTATAGTGTATGTGCTTGTGGAGGAAATTGAAATGATGTCTGTATAATTAATGCATTTGAAACACTCGTCAGAAAATGTGTTTTTTCCATAACTTTTTCGCAAATAAATTTAGTTAGTGTAGAATGGTCAACATGTAGAGCTTACTATCCTGGGAGATTTACACAATACGGAGGGTTTTTATTATTAATGAATTTCGTCTGTCCCTCTTTATACATTTTTATCTTAATATCGACACTGTTGAAATTGAAAAATCATTCATGATATATATTGTAAGTTATGTACAATGTAGACTGTACACATCAACTCCGCACGAGGTTGTCAACTACAAGTAAGAGTTGTCTCTCTTTATTCAGATGTATTGCTTTTCAATGTAATCAAACACGGCCAGCGGTTCGTTAGTGATCTGTTTATTAGATATAGACTGCAGTCGTGATTTTACATGTAAGATATATCCTAGGTCAGAACGCTGGTTTTATTCAACAAATTTTAATTCTAAATTAAAACATCAAAACAAGAAAATGCAATTTTTTATTTCACTTAATGCAGGTAAAATGAATTTGATGCGATCTCTATAGCAATAGAGTGTAAAATCAAAACTACAAAATTTATATCGTCTCTGAAAGAAAAATTATCATCGCTTGTGATGATACACGATTTCCTATACCATATAAAGATAAAACTTGACAAGTGTCTTAAGATGTAAGATTTACTTTGGCAAGGGTGAAGAAAGAACAAAGCGACGAGCCTGTCTAATTAATGCACGCGCTACAGCTACAACTGTTTTCCGTCACTGCCGAATACAGCAAAATATAGGTAGCATGTTGTATTCCGACAATGGCAGTAACAGTTGCAGGATAAAAAGTTTTTCTTTAAACTGATCAATGTCTTTATTACTTTTATTGTCGGTGAAGACTAGGAATACAATGTACATCAGTGATGATATAACATTTCCAGTTTTGACCAATCATAGCGTTACTTTTTAGTCACTGCATTAAATTTCCATCAGTTTTTCTTCTAGTCGGACACATCGAAAGCGAAGGATTTTCCACCAAATCTTTTCCGTTTACATGTCGGATTTTGTTTATATGTCAGCGAGTCTT